TGTGCAAGAGGCAACCTATCAATGTTTCTTTCTCACATCGAGGGTTCTCTCCCTCTCTTTCTCCCTTCCTTTCCCCCTCTTTAAAAATAAAATCTTAACAACAACAATAACAAATGATGGGAAGCATCACTACTATTATAAACCTATCAGCCAATTCTAAAGTTATTCTTTACCCAAATCAGCTAAGACTGTACGACTGTATATGCTACTACCCACTACATAAAAAGGGAAGAATCTTATTAAACTTAAACCCAAACCCTAAACAAATAATATGCCCTATAATTTATTATAGCCAAAATTACAACATCACATGCCAGGACACAAACTAAGTCTATACTAAATCTATAATCACAAAAGATTAAATTTACTATCATGTATCGTCCTCTCAAATTTTTTTACTTTTAAAACAAACTTTAATTCACAATTTCCTTAATTTCTAGGTTCTACTTTTTCCAGCACTCCCAAATACTCCTCTCTTTTGTTGAACAGCTATACCCGATCTTGGGAATAGCTTTATAGATCTTCACTACCATAAAGTTCAAGTTTCTTTTAATCTCCAAGCATTAAATGCATTTAAAACTATTCCCTTTGATCTACCCAACCTACTTTCAGCACCATTCCTTTTATGACCCATGAGCCTGAAATCATACCATGAGTAGAAATATATTTTTTACATGGAAGCTCTCAAACTAATCATAGTTGATGATCATCATATTTTTCTGCTAACTTAACCAGTTTACCCTTGTCAAAGTTCAGAAGACAAGCTGAACTTACAGGACCTAAGTGACTATGAAAAATATGTGAAAATCATTAACTTATTTTTTTCTTAATGACTGGGAAATAAACCTGCCATTGCTTGATCTTACAGACCAAGCATTCACATCCAGCTCATAGAACACGGGAGTTCAGCTGCAGTGCAGTTGCAGAACTGCTCACTGCACCCACATGTATCTTCCCAGTAGCTTCCCATTGGTTGAAATACACCTTTCTACTACCTACAGGATCCTATACCATCTGGCCACTTCCTAGTTCCCTAAGGTACCACTTTCTCCCTAGTCCTCCCCATTTTATAGATGAAGAAACTGAAACACAGGTTAAGCAACTTGTTCTGTCATATACTACTAACAAGTGATAGTGTTGGAATGTGAACCTATGAAGTTTGGATCCATAGTCTCTGCTTATTCATCAGGCAATATTTTCTCTCAATATTATCGATAAATATATTATATTAGAAACATTTTAAACAGAGAGCAACATTAATATAAGTATTTAGTACTGAAGCATATACTACAGATTAATGAAAAATTCCAGTACTAAGCTATCCTGTTTAACAACAAAAAAGTAGCACACTGATAATAGCTGGAGAGATATAATTCTCTCGTAGCTTGACAAAATGGATTTAGCAAATAAAGGGGAATAGACATTCAATGGCCAGAATTACCAAGAAAACAGCTGATCTAGTCATTTCAGTTTTAAGGAGGGCTTTTTTTTGGGGGGGGGGGGGACTGTTGTCAAATATCTGTATATAAATTACTAAAATTTGAGAGCTAAAAATGCTTCAAACGGGGTATCAAAACAAAATGTCATAAAACTGTAAAATAGTTTTAATAACATTTTAACATGTGCTAACCACATTTACTTATCAAGTTTCTTCAAATAGTAAAGCTGATAATTTTGGGAAAGCAAGGCTTAATTTGATGGTTAAAGAACATAGGTAATAATGTGAAAAAATCCTGAAGGGACATACGAATGCTACAGCTTTAGGAGGTTCACGTCTCTCTGCAATATATAGGGAAAATACAGGAATACTGCTGATGGTAAATATATTACTCACAGTAAAAATAGAAAGTAGCATTTCTATTTCACAAAATGCACAAAACAAAGAACCTGCAATACTGGTTCATAGATTTGGAACATATCTCCACATTTATGCTGATAATTACACTAACTTTTAAAAGAATCAGCCAGGAAAATAGAGGCCATAAGCTACATATCTATCAGTCCTTTATTCAGGGGTTCCCAACCCCCAGGTCACGGACTGGTAGGGGTCAGTGGCCTGTTAGGAACCGGGTCCACACCGTAGGAGGTGAGCGCCAGGGGAGCCAGCGAAGCTTCATCTGTATTTACAGTGGCTCCTCAGGCTCACATTACTGCCTGAGCTCAGCTACCTTACCCCCAATCATGGAAAAATGGTGCCATAAAATTTATATAATTTTCAAAGCACTTTGCCTTATTTTATTTGGCCCTCAAATAAATCCTCAGGTCAGGTAAGTAGCACAGTGAACTTCAGCAGCAGTTGTTAGATGTACCAGTTCTTACTATCTTACTTACTAGTAAGCAAGCAACTGTGGTTGCTTGGGAAACATATTTTCCATTGAACCGTAGTTTCTAGTCTGGGCCATGCACCCCACAGATTTGTGGAGAGAATCAAATGAGATAAAATACATGTAAAAATGCCCTGGCTGGTGTGGCTCAGTGGATTGTGAGCAAGCCTGTGAACGAAAGGGTCACTGGTTTGATTCCCCATCAGGGCACAAGCCTGGGTTGCAGGCCAGGTCCCCAGTAGGGGGCGTGTGAGAGGCAACCACACATTGGTGTGTCTCTCCCTTCCTGTCTAAAATTAAATAAATAAAATCTTTAAAAAAATGTAAAAACATTTTTAAAGTGTAACATACTATACAAATATGACATTTGTATACAAATATAAAAAAGGCAAAAAACATCTCCATTTTGTAACTTAATTCGATAATTACTTTTGCAGTATCTACTATGTAATGAGCACTGCCTATAAAACAGTTAAGGGTCTTAACTAAAGAGCTTAAGTTTGGAGTGGGAAACAAAGTAATAAGCAAATAATTGCAGTATAAAGTATTGTGAAAGGACATGGTGGTGCAATCAATTAACAGGGAACCAAGGAACAGAAACATTAAGTGACTTTTTTAAGGACAAATGCTTAATAAGTATTAGAACACCAGCTAAAACCAAGTCCATGACATTAAATTCAAAGTGTCTTTAACCCACAGAACCTATGTCACAGCACTACAGTACCATATGTGCTCTTTGTTAAAGAACAAACTTTCAGAATATATTAACTGCACTCCAAGCTAATTTCAGATGCCCTGCACTGTCAGTGATTTTGCCTGGTCAACTGGTAGGTAGGATTTCTTTCTTAAATCAGTGCAGGGTCGAGTCACCACAATGGATACAGGAAGTCCCCATTCCTTTTCAAAGGGAAATGTATTATGTGTAGAAACAACTCTCGTGGTAATTTTAACTAGACTCTAATATACGCTCTCTAAATGCGAGTTTTTAATATAGAAGTGCTACAGAAAATAAAGCTTTAAAGTATCTCACTGTAGTTGAAAAAGGAAGCACCAATATCCACCAATATCACCGTGCGTCTGAGAGCTTTTACGCATCAGTCATCCGGCATCAGATGAACTGAGAAGTGGCAGTACAGCTCTGTGAGCAGAAGTAATTCCCAAACTGTTCCAAGACAGAGACTGGCAAGTTTTTTCCTTCAATAACAACTTCAAAAGAGAGAAGACACAAGACTTCTCTGCTGCATGTATTCTACGGGAAACAATGTTTCTTATTTAATGAAAATTCAGGTACCTTAAGTTTGGAGGATAATAAAAGGGACCTCATGCTGCATACGTACGAATCCTAAAATTCCCTTACCTTATGTTTTAGTTTTACTTAACTGTAAGACCACAGCAAGTGCTTCTGTAATTCTGATCTCATCGGTGCTGAAATACGGCAAACCGACAGGAAGCCTATTAAACTCTTTAACAGCATGTTTTAACTCAAAAGGGTGATTCACTTTACAGAAATGCACAGCTCGGACGATAAGGTAGCGAGAGCTTCAATTTTTAAAAATAAACGATCAAATGAATAAACTACTCATGGACCCTTTATAACCCAGCTCTCGCCGACACTGTGACCCATCCTACTAGTCCCTTGAGGTGTCGTCCTCTCCGGTTTCCACTGAGAGGTGGTACTTCCTAGGGCCGAAAGTAAAAAAAAATGAGGCGGAATTCTCCAGCCCGGAAAAGGCAAAGTGCTGAGCGTCCTGGGGCGGGGGTGTCACTGTGTTCTCCCGAGGCGCCCCACCTCAAAGCATCCTCACTTTTTACTACACTGAAGAGGCTGTGGAGTCACTTGGCCCACTTTCCTTCACGAGATTCCTCCGCTCGTACAAAGGCACCGCCGCAACACGGAAAGACCGCCACGGAGGCCGCGAGTGGTGGCTGTGGTGTCCAGACACTTCCCGCGTCGGGACGGGAGAGGAGTGAGCCCGGGGCCTACCGCCTCTCGACCACCCATGTACTGGACACTACGAGAACGAGCTCTTCGAGAAACCGATCTAAAAGACTGGTCACCTGAGGTATCTGTGTAAGTCCCGTAGTGGGGTCCCGGACCGCGCTCTTTAATCGAAGAGAGAGTAGTGACCCACTCGCAGCAGCCGTCGATTCTCAGCGTGCGCTTCGCTCAACTCCACCGCGCATGCGGAACTACTCGGCAGCACGCAAGCGCCAACAGAATAGAGGCCCCCTCTTCGTCACTGACCATAGAGTCCAGGTCCTCCGAGAACAACGAAGAGCGTAGACGACAGGAGGACCTGAAAAGTACGCTTTCTCGGACTCTTTAGTTTTTGATAAGCAACCTTCAAGGCGCAAGGAAGAGATAGGACTCTGATTCTTTGTCCCTGAAGAATAAATCCTCTCTTAAGCCTTCGGTAAATCATGAGGTGGCGCTGTGACCAAAAATGACAGGCGGAAGAAGAGAGGGAGTGTACTCTTTTCTCCTTTAGCTTCACTCTAGCCGAGTCTTGCGCAGCCGCCTGGAGCTGCAGCGGGAGGGGCTGGGAAGCGAACCGGAAGTGAAGGGCCGTCTCTTGGTGCGCGCGCCTCAACATCCGGGCATCGCCTTTTTCACATCCTCTCCTTCCGCCCTCCTCACCCGGGTATTCCCGGTACCAACAGGAAGCGGAACTGGAGGGTGCGTAGCTCTGCGGCCTCTTAGCAACGCGAGATGGGGGTCAGGTGACACAACCAGCTGATTCTGGTAAAGGAAGACACTGGCCGGGGCTGTGGCAGCCCGGATTCCCCGGCTGGTAACTCGAGGCGAACAGTCGTCGTCAGAATGTCGAGCAAAGACCGAATTGAAATCTTTCCCTCACGAATGTAAGTAAAAGAATGGGACGAGCAGCTCTCGATACGTTCAGGAACGCTTGGCGGGATTCTTGGTTCCTCCGTACCCTGGACTATCAGCGAGGTACCTGATTTTCTGGGTGGATCTTGAGCTCTCCCCGTCTCTGTCCGTGAGTCCAGGGCCAGGCTCCCTGACGATCCCCTCACACATTCCTGTGAGCGAACCGGACTGGTCAGAGCGATCCCGGTCTATAGGAACAGGCGCCGGGCCTGCTGGCTTCTGTGGGCGTCCGCTTACCTTACTCATTCATCGAGCCATTCATTCCACATTCCCCATTGAAGCAGGCACCAGATTTATGTAACTGTGAATCGTCGCCACTCCTGCCCTGACAGGGCTCAGCTTGGCGGAGAGATGGACTGAGAAGGGAAGTTTACTGCGGTGGGAAGTATATAGAAGAGACTTTTACGCCAAACTGGGTGTTGTCGAATCGAAACGCCCTAGCGGGGATGTTCCATTCGGTCTTAGATTCCCCATAGTCTTTTTCCCAGATGTCAGGAAATGTCACTCGCGGTGGGAAGATAGTCCTGAGTTCCTGACGCACTCCTCTTGCACTGTCACCATTGCACCTTGTTTAGACCTCTGCTAACATTGCCCATCACAATGTACAGTGGATCGGATTTGTGTGCACGTCTTTCCCGTGGGACTGTGAGCTCCCTCCAGGATGAGAAAGTGTCTGGGTTATCAGTCCGTAGACAGTCCGCAAAAAGTGTTCCTTGAATGAACCCATGCGTGTGATCTGTTCGGTTGTGGGCCGCCTTTCTCTTTCGGCCTGACTACTTTGGCAGGAGAAATAGCATATCGTCCTAGGTGTTCGCTAGTCTGTAGGAAAATGTTCTGAGGTTTTTCTCAAACCTACCTTAACAATGTGTGGAAAGTCAAGATCTTATTTGCTCTCTCCTCCGTTTCCTTGTCCTCCCACCCCCCGCCCCCCGCCAGTGAGGAGCAGACAATTAGTTTTGGCTCTGACATTCAGATCTTTTTCATTGTGGACGTATTTCTTTGGAGGTACTCTGTTGTTTTTCTTTATCCTGACTTTTTTCTCGGAGAATCAGGACTCTAAAAAGAGTTATTTTCAAACCCCAAACCTAGATTTCTGCCTCTGTCTGAGTGGCTGCAGCCCTTAGTGAAATGAAGGAGTTACTGGCTTTTTGTTTATTTTTTTACTTTCACCTACTGACTTTCTAATAGCTGTTTGTACTAGATGGGAATCACGTCAGTTGTGGAGAAAGGCAGTGCCTGAGAAATGGATAAGGATCAGGACTATCCTGGGGTAGTGAAAACTGCCAAGTTCCCAGCACTTAATGACTGACTTTGTCCAAATCTCTGCACTGAGAAACAGCCAAAGTCCATTTAGCATGGCTGCTCGAAGCCTCAGGCTGTGTTCTAGGATGACACCAGCTCCCATTAAAATTTGTGCGCCTGAGAAAGCTCAGTGCTGCCTGGAGAATTTGCTGTTTGTTCTAGCCAACACCCAACGATGGATCCCTGACCTTTCTTGGGGCATTTTTTTACTGAAAAGGGCCTACAGTGATAAATCCATCATTTTCCCATTGAGATGTGTATGTCTCCCCTAGAAATTAGAGGTAGCTTTCTCAAGGACCGGAATACCATTTCTTTGAAATGTAATCGTTGGGAAGGATTGGAGGTCAGTGCGAATAGAATCCTAACTTCCATAATTGTCCACTGGCAGACACAGCTGGCCTAATTGCATTTCTCCTGACCAGCTAGCTCTCTGTAATTCATCACTTCCCCGACTCTGCTGGAGTCCCCTCTTCCTTCCCTCCCTCATTCTTCCTTTAAAATGTCCAGTTACCTCTGCACAAATCAGAATGGAGCTCAGCTCTTTCTCCTACTGGCTGTGATTACTGAAGAAAGTCTGTTTTCACAGCTTCAGTTTTAAGACTTAGAGGTAAAAACAGACTTCCATGGGCTTGGACAAGAAGAATGATAGGTTTGTGAAGGTGGAAATTACTATTTGAGACCACTCAGCTTGCGGTTTGAGAGGAAAATCAGGTGCAGGAAGTAACTGCTTTTCTAAATATTTTCCCAAAGGCCTAGTGTAGGTACTTCTCATGTAGTCAGATGCTTTTGATTCATCTGGAAACAAAGTTGTCATCCTAGTTCAAAGTCAGACACTTTTAAGAAGGGCTGAGCAGCTCTGAAACTTGTAAAGGAACAGTTTTTTTAAGAGCTAGGCTAGAAAATACACTAGTGACTTCTGTTTCAAACAGCCCCAGCTTACAGTGTTAGCCTGTGAAATGGGGCTGACACCCACTTATATGCCAGAGAGAGAAAAACAAATTTAAGGTGGAATCAAAGGAGGCAAGAAGGATTTGGAATCAACAGAAGTCAGTAAATCTAGATTATAACTACAAGAGCTGTAAGCCCTTGGGCATGTCACTCTTTGAGTGTCAAGAGTAAAAATTTTTCTGTTTTACATAGGTGCTATTACCTAGGAGGAAATGGAAATTGGCAAGGTAAATTCATTTTTATCAACCAGTTTGCCTTTTTACCATGAACTTCCTGGAATCTGCTGTACCAGGATTTGACTTAAATTTGATCCAACTCTTGGAGCCCAAATTCTGGTGGTTAGTGTCAACAGTACAGTATGTTTAAATGTACACATTGGGTGGCTAGCTCCTGCTCAGGCAGGAACCTGAACCCGCTTCACTCGGTTGGACCTTCAGTCAGTGGGAGAGAGAACCGTTCTTTTGATGCTCTTTATAACCTGTAGGGGAGGAAAGGTCCCACGTGGTTGGGATATAGTGGGCCTAGGTTTGAGCCTTAGTTTGGGCCTTGGGCAGGTCACTGGAGTCGGAAAGCTGGTTCAAATCCTCCTCTGCCTTTTCTTCACTGAGTGGCTGTGGAAAAGGTGTTTCATTTTTCTGAGCCTCATTTTCTTAACTTTCAGGATAATGTCTAAAGTTCTCCCAACTCTAAGGATTGTCTCAGTAACCTTTGCCCTGTGGTAAAAGATTTAAATATAATCTAAACATTTAGCCAAAAGGTCCATTAATAGTCACTATTTTGCTGCTGGTTATAACACCATTGATATGAAATTATATCCCCTTATACCACTTTAAGTATCTAAGTTAGATAACCTGTTATTGAATCTTATTACCCACTTTTTTCCATCATTAAATTTTATCTGGCATATGGTGGCAAGAACAGAAATGTCAGTTTTTTCTGTTGGTTTCCTGACTTTGGTATCGGTGTTTCTGATGGGAAAAGATTGAAATAGGAGGTAAGGAGGCTTCAGTAACTTGTCACTTTTCAGGAGTCTTTACTTAGGTATGTCATTTATCAGTTACTCAAAGTCATTTGTTCCCTAATTTGTTACATTCATTTGTTACGTAAAGTCATTTACAAATTAATTGATTAGTTGTAGACTCTTGATTGATGGTATCAAAACACTTTAATGCCACACTTTTAATAGAAAAAGCAATAAATGTTTGTGGAATAAAATGTAAAAGATACAAAAATATAATAGTAAAAGTAAATCAGTGTTTTTCATTCAGTCCCATCTCCCAAAAGAAACTGTTGACAGTTTCTCTGAATCCTTTTTAGGCTGTTCTCTGTATAAGTATACTTATCCCTCCTTGCTTTGCAGAGCTCGAACAGTTTAATGTAAGGAGCACATGCAGACCTACCTTCATCTTTTTTTTAACATCTGCATATCATTCCATTGTACAAAGAATCATAATTTATGAAGTATTTAACTTGTTTCCGCCCATTTGCTCTTACAGACAATGCCGGAGCACTCATTCTCAACCTGGGACATATTTTTTTTTTTAAGATTTTATTTCTTTTTAGAGAGGGGGGAAGGGAAAGAGAAAGAGGGAGAGAAACATCAATGCGTGGTTGCCTCTCTCTCCTACGTCCCCTACTGGGGACCTGGCTCACAACCCAGCCATGTGCCTTGACTGGGAATCGAACTGGCGACCCTTTGCTTCGCAATAGGGAGCTCAATCCACTGAGCCACACCAGCCAGGGCTGGGACAGATTTTTTGTGTACATGTGGGAATAACTTTGTGGGATAAAGTCCTCAAAGTGGAATCGTTGGTCCTGGAGGCAAATGCATTTCAAATTGTGGTATAAATTAGTAGACAGATTCTTAAAAAAGAATCCTTAATACACTTGTAATGGAAACAGGTATAGTTTTAATTTACAAGTCAAATAAGTATTTAAACTCTGCTGGCATCATAAAATAGCACTCCTGAAAATTTTATCATGACTTAATAAATATTCTAGATATTAAAACATTGTTTTGGTTTTAAATAAATAAAACTTCATATATTGAACACCTGAGGGTGGAAATCTGCAGTGTTAGAAACCAGTTAAACCTGTCAGCTACAAATGCTGTATATTACTCGGATGACATCAAAGAATAAAGCATAATTTGAACATTGTATGGGGAAGGTATTTTTCTTTCTTTTAAACAATGGGAACATCTTTACCTTTGTTTACACAGGGCACAGACCATCATGAAGGCTCGATTAAAAGGAGCACAGACAGGTAGAAACCTCCTGAAGAAAAAGTCTGATGCCTTAACTCTTCGATTTCGACAGATCCTAAAGAAGATCATAGAGGTAGAGTAAACTTTGCTTAGGACAGTATTTATTTTAGAAATATCTAAGGAGAATCCAGCATGGCCATTGACATTTTAGTTTTTCTTTGTTATTTTAATTCATTTTTTTCTTCCAAAAGTAAAAATATCACCATAAAGTACTGAGTTTTACCTAGTTTATTTAATAAAAATCCAAACTCCTTACACTTGTCCACTAGCCCCACTTGATTTAATTCGGCCCCTGCCTGCTTCTCTGACCTCCTTTGCCACAGTCTGTCTGACACCCTCCTCCAGGGCCTTCGCATTAGCTGTTTTGTTTCTTTTGCCTGGAATGCTCTTTCCCCAGAACGCCTTACGACTGGCTCCTCTGGCCATTATGGTCTCTTGAAGTGACCGCCATATTTACTTCTGTCACGTTGCCTTATTTTATTTTTATCATAGCGTGCACTACAGCATATTGTTTGATTGTTTACCCCCACTAGAGAAGGTGAGTTCCATGAGAGGGGACTTTGTCTCTTCAGCACTGTGTTTTCAGTGTCTAGACCAGTGCTGGCACATAGTACGTTTTAACTCAGTGCTTTTTGGATAAATGATGTGTGAATACAGAAGTGTATAAAAAAAGTGAAGGTTCTGTCCCATATCCCCCTCCCCCAACCATCCTTCTTTCATTTCCCAAAGGAGTTCTTTGCGATATTGTGGTTTATATGCTTTCCATATTTCCGTTTCTCCCTCTCACCCCCCACCCCTGTCTTCCTCCCTCCCTCCTCCTCCCCTCCTCCCCCTGCTCAGTCTCTTTCTCTCTCTTTGGTAGCACGTAGCAAAAATACTGCTTTTGTAAAGCATATACCAAGAGTATCATGTATGACCATATGTCCAGGACACACAGATGTTTTTAGTAAGAAACATGCAACTATTTTAAATTTACATCTATATCTATGTCTGTGTCTGTAACATTTTCTGTTCCACTACCCCTTCCTTCGCTCCACAGCAGAATACGGCAGCTTTCCACGTCAATGCGTATAGATCGGTCTCGTTCTGTGTAATAGCTGCGTGGTGCTCCATCACATGGGTGGTGGAATTTAACCAAGTCTCTGCTGATGGATGTGTAGTGTTCCCATTTTGTGGGGGAGGGTAATGTAAATTCTCATGTGTATGTATGCTAGTGTTTCTCTGGAAAAGACTCTTAGAATTTCAGGAATCATTTAAGTGTTTGATAACTGCCAAATTGCCCTCCAGATTGTTATACTAATTTACATACTACCAACTGATCAGTAAGAGGACCTACTTCCTTAAATTGGCTATTTTTATTTTTTGCCAATCTGTTGGGCTAAAATTGTTACCTTATTTTAGTTTGTACTACCTTTGATTATTTGTAAGGTTCACCATCCCTTCATGTTTACTGGTAACTTGATTTTCTTGGTAAATTTCTCTCTTTTTTTTTTTTTTTGTAGAAGTTCTATATATATTCAAGTTAGGGTACAAAATGCTAAAAATATTTTTTTCAAGTCTGACTTTCTTAAAAATATTTTTTCCTTTTTGTCGAATCTCTTAGTCCTTTCCTTTACATAGCTTACATCTGGGTTACATATTTAGAAAGCCCTACAAAGATCAGGAAGATATTTTATTATATTTTATTTTATAGTTTAAAAAATAAACCTTTATCTTTAATAATCTGTCGATTTGAGGGGACTGATAGGAGAAGGCAGGGATTTAGATTTTTCATCGCATAAATGGATGGCCATTGAATGGTCTCTTCCCACAAGTAAATTCCAGTCCAGTCCTGGCTCCTCCGAACTCTGCTCCGTGTCGTTGACTTACCTGTGTCTGTACCGAATTTATTTTCTCACCGCGGCTGTGCATTTCTAGTACTTAGTAAGGTAACTCTCTACCCATCTGTCCCCATTATTCTTCTCTCTCAAAAAAATGCTGGATATTCTCAAACATGAAATGTTCTGGACTTCAGAGTCACTGCGCCGTGAGGACTGTGACTGCACTGCCATGAGTTTAGGAGATTGATTCGAGCGGACTGTCACGGGCCAATTCAGAAAAGGACAGTCCTGCAGTAAAGCTTCAGTTTTCTTTTTCTTAATGTCTTGATTTTGATTTTTAATTATCAAACTCATGGTTTTGCAACATTGTTAGTGACCATAACCAATGCTGTTCAAGCAAAATTGGAAATTTTTATCATTACCGAACAGTGTTGACCACATACACAGAATACTGAAGATTATTAAAGGAATGTGATTACGTGATTTTTCCTTGTGAAAAACTTTTTTGAACTGGCTGTGGATTCATGCTTTTCCAGACTAAAATGTTGATGGGGGAAGTGATGAGAGAAGCTGCCTTTTCACTTGCTGAGGCCAAGTTCACAGCAGGGGACTTCAGGTAAGAAGACTACCTGGGGTGTTTTGAAAAATCAGGGTTCTTTTATGTTCACAATTTTATTTAAAAGTCATTTTAAATTAAATATAAACATTCAGCCCTGGCTGGTGTGGGTCTGTGGATTAAGCACCGGCCTGCAAACCAAAGGGTCACTGGTTCGATTCCCAGTCAGGGCACATGCCTGGGTTGCAGGCCAGGTCCCCAGTTGGGGACATGTGAGGGGCAACCACACATTGATGTTTCTCTCCCTCTTTCTCTTTCCCTTATCCTCTCTCTAAAAATAAAATCTTTAAAAAAATAAGCATTCATGACACCTGATATTACTAGTAATAATAAGGAAGGACAGTTTTAACCATATCACCTTAACACCATCTTAATTGCTACCCACATGTATCTGTCACATAGCTGCAGGCATGGGGTACTTCATATTTCATAGTCCATTTTCATTTAACATTTTATCAACATTTTTCCTTGTTTTTACTTATGTAACTGCATAATCTTTCTATAGATGTATTATAATTTAACCTTTTCTTCTAGTGATGGAACTTTGGATTGATTTCCAGAGTTCTAGAATATTAGAAAAATGCCATGAACATCTTCATGCATAAGTATTTTTTTTCTATTGAATTATTTCCTTAGGATAAACTTTTGAGGATGGAATTGGTTGTTTAAAGGGCATGAATTTATGCTTTTGTCATGTCAGTATAAGCTTTACAAAGCATATAAAATAGTTTAGTTATTGCTTTACAAAGGGGCTTTGCCAACTTTTAAAACATTTTTTAAAGATTTTATTTTAGAGAGGAAGGGAGGGAAAAAGAGGAGACAAATATCGATGTGTGAGAGATACATCAATCGGTTGAATCTCATACACTCCTAAGCAGGGACCTGGCCCGCAACCCAGGCATGTGCCCTTGACTGGGAATTGAACTGGTGGCCTTTAGGTTCACAGGCCAGCACTCAGTTCCCTGAGCTACACCAACCAGGGCAGGGTTTTGCAAATTTACACATTATGTGGTTCTCCAAGTAAGCCTGTGAAGTAGACCAGGTAAGCACTTATCTCAGTGTGAGTTCAGTGCTCTCCTGAGTCAAATGGCCATTCAGGGGCAGAGGTGGACATTCTTTTCAGGGGTTTTTATTTTAGTCTTATTTATCCAATGACACGATTCCTTCCTTCTTAGTTTTTATTATCTATCTAGGAGCATTACCTGGCGGGCAGGTCTTATAGCCTGAGAGGCAGGAGGCCTTTTGAGGGAGCAGGCTAGGTTGTGCCAGTGCGGGCGGGGAAACAGCTTGCACTGACTTTTCCAGCGGAGGGAGGGAATCAGTAGTGTGCATGCTTTGGGGTGGTTATGGGGAAGACACTATCTTATGGTGGTAATCAGGAGCCAGACAAAGCCAGAAGGAATTCAGGTAAGTTCTAGGATAAAGGAATAGTACTCCTGCTTAGCCAAACCTAGGTTTAACAACAAACCCAAAAGAAGGAAAGTTTTCTCTAAATTACATAAACAGAATGAAAATTCCACATGTATGACTGAAAACTTAAGCAATCTGCATACTGTAAAATAATTCTTTTTTGTTTTCTTACAACTAATTTTTTATTATTATTCATTCTTTGCTTTCTGAGGCCCTCCTCTGGAAGCAGTGATTTTTTGCCTTTTCTTACTTAATTGTGAAATCTCACTCTTGTTCAAGTTACCCAGTGGGTCCCTGTGAGTTTATTTCTCACTCTAAAACCTTAACTGAACCAAGGCCCTTTTCCCCTGCAGCACTACAGTCATCCAGAACGTAAATAAAGCCCAAGTGAAGATTCGAGCAAAGAAAGATAATGTAGCAGGTAACTTTCCAACCCTTTTAGAACCCTCGGGGGAGAAAAGGTGACATTTTAAAATCAACCTGTTTATACAGCAAGATCTCGATATCCCAGTTAATCCTTTCTACTCAGAACAAGTTGATTGGCTTTACATGTTGAGCCAGTTGTAAGTGGGGGTCTCGGGGGGTCAGGGCGGGGAACTGGGGAGTTGTTTGGTAGGTATAAAGCGAGGGCAGTACAAGGTGAATGCATTTTAGAAGTGCCTTGTACTGTGGAGCGCCAACAGGATAATACGGTGTCGCGCGCTGAGGAACTTGTGCACAGGAGGACTGGGTAGGTCTCATGTTGAGAGTTCTTGGCACACACATGCCAAGGAAAAGGGACACACAAAATCTGTTGGAGATGATGGATATGTTTATTACCATGGGTGCACCGTGTATACAGTAAATATGTGCAGGTGTTTTTTGTTTTGTTTTTTTTTTTGGTATACTAAATATACCTCAAAGCTGAAAGGAAAAAAACCCCCATGGTAACAATCAGCTCCTTTATTGCTGAGGCTAATTTAATTTTTAGATAGGATTGAACACTTAAGAAGGCAGGTTCCTAAATTCGCTCTTGGAAAGCTGTGATGATTCTGGACAGTCTGCTGACTTTTTTCTGTGTTAAACAGGTGTCACTTTGCCAGTGTTTGAACACTACCACGAAGGAACTGACAGTAAGTGTGTGTCTCTGGGCTCTCCTGACTCCCCTTTAAATGAGTTTTGTTCTGGGAATTATCTGACCCTTTCCTAATTTGACAACATTTTTGGAGTAGCAAAACATCTTTATTCAGTCTGTCCAAAGTAGAATTTCTTTTTTATAGAAGGAACAGTATTCTTTCCTTGCACTCATCTTTCACTGGTTTACATAAAATGTTTTGTACAGCTTGCGTAAAGTAGAGCATTCTGAAGAGCCGCCTGTTCACGGAGAGCAGCACTGCACTGGGCACCAGGCCGTGCGGTCTGCAGAGAGGATGGGCGCACTGGTTGACCCAGCGGTCCAGTGAAGTGGGGGCTGGTTGGAAACCTCCACTGTAGCTAGAATAGGATCCTTGTGCAAAACTACTCGGCATCATGTTCTTAATGTTTGGGGAGTGAGATGGGCACTTCGTGTCTGCATTTAACAGAGATAGTGAATTTGTCTCTCCATTTTGTCATTGTTCTGACTTATCTCTTGGGGAATTTTAGGGGGAAGATTATTATTCTGCAATTACAAATGTTGTCTGACTGGTTCTTTCAGGTTATGAGCTGACTGGTTTAGCCCGAGGTGGGGAACAACTGGCTAAATTAAAGAGGAATTACGCCAAAGCAGTGGAACTACTGGTGGAACTGGCCTCGCTGCAGGTAGGCAGAGTGTTGCTGGAGCTCTCCTGTAGTTTGATTTTTGATATTCGAGTGTGAACTTCCGATCTTGACTAGCGCACACTGCACTCACTGCTTTAGACTGTTTCCATGGCCCTCTATGAAACAAGCCAAAGATGTTTTGATTTCTGAAATGGTGGCCTCTGCACCTTTGTCCCAACTTGTGCTACTAACAGAGGAGCAGTGGTGTAGTTTCACTCTGCTAGATGAGAACAGCAGCAGGCAGTGCTAGATTTCAATGGAAATATAACGTGGTTCACACACGAAAGCCGTGGGCCGTGGTTTTTTTCCCCTCCGTGGCCAGAGAATGTATATCTAGGTCATTCGTGCATGGTTCTCTCCTCTCGCCATTTTTGTAACTTTAGTCTGAAATAAATGATGGCATGGAGATTAAGTGTTATCCCTATGGAAATCTCACAAGAATTTTTTTAATGTGTTAAAAAGCAGTAGTCTTGGTTTCCAAGTGTTCTCTACCAGTGCCGAGTGGAGCCGAGTGAACAGGGCGTGACTGGAAGACTTTGTACTTGGAGTGTTTGTCCTCTTGTTTCAGACTTCCTTTGTTACTTTGGACGAAGCCATTAAGATAACCAACAGGCGTGTAAATGCCATTGAACACGGTGAGTGCGAGCTGCTGTGAAGCCCTTTGTTCATCCACTGTCCCTGCCTCCACTTTCGTTACCCAGCTGCTAGGATCAGGCCTGGACCACCAGGTGGGTAAGGCACGCACTGCTCACAGCAGGGAGTGCAGCGAGTCTGCAGAGCAGCAAAGAGTAAGTGCTTTGGTAGAAGGAGCTGTATGATTGGGGGGGTGGGGAGTTAGACGTGAGTAGGGAGTTTGAAATTATGGAATATCTTACTCATTTCCAGTTATACATGAATATAAAGGGTTAGAAACTATTTCGCAAGAGCTCTAGTGTTTTTAGTTCTTTCCAATCACTGAGTGTACAACTTTTTGAACACATTAAATATTTACTTGAAATCCCTCTTCTAGAAAGTGTTGTCCTTGATTTCTGAAAATAAGTCTTCCCATTTGATGCATTATTTTCCATCTTATTATTTTAAAACTATGCTTAGTGTTGATATATTTTTTAAGAAACTCAGTTTTCATTTTTTCAGTTTTAAGGTAAAAAAGGAGTAAAATTGGAATAGCAAATGATTTTGCTTGGGCTCTGTTAGTGTGAAACACGGAGTTATTTCCTGACTTCTTGGTAGTGCCAGCCCTTGTACACAGAACTGCCAGCAAAACAAAAGGGATGAGGTACTGTTGTAGCCCTCACGTGAACACAGGTGAATTCTAGGTAAAACAGAACCTTATGACTGACACCTTACTGCATCCTCTCTGCCTCCGCGCTCCAGTTTTGACGGTGGATTATTGTGGATTTAAAGTAACACTTGTGGTTCAATGTCATATATTCATACGAATTCAGTGTCATATATATCGTGGTCTAATTTTATCTGTCTATAGAAAAGACATGAGAAGAGCATATACCAAAATATTTACAATTACTTTAGGGTGGTTGGATTATAGTTTTGTTTTTATGTTTTTGTTTTCTAAATTTTGCGCATTAAATGTAAATTGGTTTTATAGATAGAAAAAAATATCTGATACACAAGTGGGCAGTGGCAATTTGAAAAAAGGTGGTTTGAAGTTCTCACGTATGAATATTTTTTTAAACCCTAGTCATCATCCCCCGGATCGAACGCACCCTCGCCTACATCATCACAGAGCTGGATGAGAGAGAGCGAGAAGAGTTCTATCGGTTTGTTGAAACTGGCAGTTCCTGATTGTCTTCTGTTTTCTGTATTCCAAAGTCTCTATGCTCACATTCTTTAAAATCAGCACAGCTTGTATTTTATTCTGATATGTAAGAAGCAAGAAATAGTATTGCCAAAGGCTGTGAAGACAGTTCGCTGCTTAGTTTTACACATAACTAAAGCATGGCATCACCCAAAATTTTGGTCAAATACTTGAATATTTTAAAAAATGAAAGTGATTTAGGTTGGGTGTCTCCCACATATAAAGAAACCAGAATTAATCAGTGACTCCGTATGGACTGCATGTTGAGTATGGTCCAGAAGGAGACATTACATTAGAGGGTTAGCACAGTCCTGGGAGGGAAATGACGCACGTACGTAGTTGATCGTGAACACTGAAGCCAGCAGAGATGGTAAGGACTGAATAGTGGTGTGCAGGTCGGTGTGCCAGGGTCACGGAGGTGGGGGACAGGTGAAGGCAGGCCTACTCAGGGGAGACGTGCCATCTCGAGCCCTGAGTAGTGTGTGATTTATAATCCTAGTGATCAGAGGTTAGTTTCTGCCCTTCAGTGACGTTCAGGGTTGTAGTGATCTAAATGAAGTGTTCCAAAGTTTTAATAAATGCCTGAATGCTCAAAACCCGGTCCATTATCAGGGAATGGATTTCAAAGTTTGGTCATCTTGGAATAGAAGCTTTTGAAATTCGTTATGGGCTTAAAATACGTCTATTTTACCTCTATCATTTTTTAATGGGCTATAAAGTACTGAACTGAGATTAAAATTTTGTTGTAATGTGTTTATTATCCTTGTTACAAAACTAGAAGCAAATCTACTACTCAAACAGCATTGAGAGAATTCCTTTATTTTACAGGTTAAAGAAAATACAGGAGAAGAAAAAAATTCTCAAGGAAAAATCTGAGAAGAACTTGGAAAAACGGAGGGCAGCTGGGGAGGTGACGGAACCTGCCAATCTCCTGGCTGAAGAGAAGGATGAGGACCTTCTGTTTGAATAGTTGTCTTTCCTGCTCTGGCTCTCCCAGAAATCCTAACATGGCACCATTTTAGTTCACGGTGTATAGGTTTGGTTTGTGTAACTGTTTATTTTTCAGCCTAAGAATTTCACTGGTGGTAAAATTTCCCTGAACGTCTATTTATGGGAGTACCTTTGCAGAATCCTAATTTAGCAACCTTTATCACAGATGAGATTTCGATAAACAAGTTTACGCTGCAGAAGAGCACTGTACTCCACCTGCATCTGTGTTACATGTGATCGGCTTACCCAGCACATTAGGAAGTTCCCCTTAGGAACCAGCAGTGGTCTCAGGCCAGCTGCTGCAGGAGCACCCTTCCCTCCCACCCACTCACCGGCGCTGTCGCCTGTAATCGCTGCAGCCCTCCTTGTGCCACTGTGGCACTGCTCTCCTCAAGCTTTCTGGAAGCCCGCACTTACGTTGCTTTTCATGACAGGTCTCTGTCCTGCCTGTCATGGAGCAGTTTTGCCATGTGCCAGTTTTCAATGTGACTATGGTATAAACAGTAATATCATTTAACATGAGTTGTTCCTTTTTTTTTTTTTTAAGACAACAATTAAGGAAATAGAGCCTATATCTATGCCAATAGAGGGCACTGCCTCATGGTGAAGAGTAAGTTAAAAGACATTGTGTGTTTCACTGAGGTTCCAATGGACTGACTTCTGGCAAAAACGTGAAGCCAGGGTAGTCGTTAGATGTGCTGAAATTTTGAATGGTAGAGGATATAAATACAGCAAGAGAAAGTACTCAGTGGCTTTCTTTATTTGAAATATAATTTTATTTTTACAATACAGTGTGCAGTATGACATCTCAAAATAAGAGTGCAAGTACAGGACGAGAGTACAAAGGAGGATTAATGATAAATGTCAGAAAGGTTACCTTATTAAGGCTAAATCCCTGGTTCGTGTTTTCCACACACATTCAAGAAATTACATTCAAACTATTCCTTATCGATACTCCTTAAACCACGAAAAATGGGGGGAAAATCCAGATATTAGATTTTCATAGAAAGCAAATCTGGATGAGTCTATAAATGCTCTTTTCCTTCCCATCTGTTCTGACTTAAGAAAATTTAGTAAAGGAAGATATTTCCCTGTTTGAACTAACATGTGTCTGTTAGCTACTGGTGTCATTCCTGTAAGTGGCTGAGACCTCCCTACGACGGTCTCCAGTCAGAACCAGAGGGACAGGACACGGACCTGGCCACTTGGCTGGACAAGTAGCTAGGTAACTGGCAAGGAAGCCCACTCTGTGTGAAGGCAGTCGGCAACAACTCGGTGTTTACTCTGTTTAGGGGCTGTGTGGTATCAGCACAGCCACATTGCTGGGGCTGACGTTCCTGTCCCTCTGCCGCACCTCTGCCGATCAGGCAAGAACCGTAAGACTTCGACCCCAAAATCATCTTGCCTCAGACTCCTTCAAGTGTATGATGGCACAGCCTGTGCCTTGGGAGGGGATTTGCTCCTTGAAGCTGTGTCTGAGTCCCATGGCATGGGGCCTAGTGTGGATCTACCTGCAGGCTAACTCACGGGACAGAGCGACAGCCACATAGTGACACTACCGGGAATCTCATTCTATCGGGACTCAAACTTCCAACAGTTTAGATCTTAGGGTCGAAAGCCGCTGTCAAAACTCCACTGTCTACCATAGACTACCTTTCATTCCTGAGGGGAAAGTAAACTGCAAGACTGAAAAGATGAAGTACTTATATTCCTTGGTTTTCAATGCTGAAAATTAGCGTGAGCTTCCCATTTCCTGCTATGAAATACTTGGAGTGTTTCAGACCTGAAGAGACGGCATGTAGAGCACTCCTGCTAACTGAGGAATGTTATTTTCTTCCTAATGAACAGTATCTGTAAAGTACTTCCATATAAGACACTCTGCAGCCAACTTCAAGGCCATGCAAATTTGAACAGAAAAAGGCAACTTATAAACCATCTACATTTGTTCAATTAAAATTATGTATAAGAGGAAATCAAATATATACATGACACTGAGACAAACTACTAATTAGAAACAACTGCTTACATTAAATTATGTGACAATATTATTCCAGTGTTTAGCTTTGAGAACAGGAAATGCTGTAACTAAAGTCGTAAAAATACAACAAAGATATTCACATTTGAGGTTGTTCGTCACATCACACCATCCCTAAAGGCTTGAAGAGGCTGCAAATTACCTTTCCATGTCAGTGTGAAAATCCCATTAGCTTAAACCTTCAGGATTTAGTAAGCTGTTGTATTATGGTCACAAGAGGCAGACCCTGTTAGGATAAAAACCTCTTTATATATGCACAACCATCCTGTCCCCCTATGTTCTTTCCTAAAATGTTCAAATGACTTTCAGGTCATCCTTTCCTCCTGATCTCAAAGTCAACTCATAGTATTTCCCTCAGATAAAATTTTAGTACAATGCTGAACAAGTGTTATCAATGACCATTTGTCAATCTATTAAATATTAGTTTACAGTACAGCAGCTATATTCATCACAGAATTCCAGTTTATTACCTATATACAGCACAGTCATCAAATTATACTGTGCTCACATATAAAAATGCAAAAACGCAGATGTGCTAGTCCTCTCATGTACATAAAAAACTGCGTCATGAGAAACTCAAGCACTCAACAGTTTACATGAACACCTACCATTCATAAAAATGTAACATACATTCTATCGTACTATGTAGAGAAAAAGCATGGTTATCTAGTTGTGACAATTTAAGGACAAAACTCATAAAATCATTAAAAAGAGCAGCATGTTGTATATGCTTAACTAGATCAGAGTCTGTTGAGTGTGCAGTAAAGTCTGATCCACAAAGTTTGAGCTAAAAATCGGTGCTTCTAATGGAATGTTTCTTAACAGTTAAAAGACATACAAATGAATTCAAGCCTAACAGAGTGGCTCCAGACCAAAGTGGCACCTTAAAATTTTTTTAGAATCACTATAAACAACACAATGTATTTTTGTAGTAAGTTATTGAAATCTGATGTGTATATTATACTTGCAGCACATAAAAGAAATCTAAGCAAAGTATTTCTGATGACTAAACCAGTTTTCTTAACAAATAAAGTCTTGCCCAGTACACAGAAGCACGGTCCCTAGCCCCTTCCCCCCACTCCCATGAAATCATTTAAGTTAACTGTTAAATAACATCAATTATTTGTAACTATGTGAGACATGGACTGCTGAGGATATACACACACTTCATGAAAATATGACTAGGCAGAAAAGATTCAGTTAGGTGAAAACAAAGGTTTTTACGAGGATAAAATGGAACTGCTCTGTTGAAAGCATCCATTTAGAATCCCCAAGTGAGGCAAGAACATAAAGCCATACAATAAAGGCTGCTGTGCACAATTACTTATGGGGATTTTCTTCTCACTAGTTTGAGATCGAAGAACAGGGCTACATTGCCTGCCACCTTACCCTTCGAGTCCTGCTGAAGTATCAGGTTTACCTTCGTACTGGCAGTTTGCCAGATCAAGTCCGATCGAGCCACAGGAAGGGCTTCCTTCACCTCAGCCAAGTGGACGGCACCCACTGAGGTTCAGTATCAAGTTTGTTAATTAACCTAAGCAATTCCTGATAGGCTTTATCAAGGTCTGAATTCACAATTGCCGTGTCAAAGTAGTGACCATTGTTCTGCTCCATCTCTCTAGTTTTCTCAATGATTTCTCTCAGCTCTTCTGGCTGTAAAGAGGAGATAAAAACCGAGGTTAACTCCATTCTTTGCTGAAACATACACATCAGATATGGTCAAAGAACAAGAAATAACCTTACACTGCTTTCCTCCTCTTAAAACACTCAGCCTCATGCTCCTTCCCAACCCTGTCATGGCCCCGGATGCTTTGGCATCTTGGGGAGCCACAATGAATCACCTTGGACTCAATAGAATCTGTTTACACTGTGATTTAGGTTTTTAGGTTTCTGTATAATTTTGTCTTATCTTCCCCACAAGACCAATGTTTCAAGGGCACAGACTTCGAGTTCCCCACAGACATTCAGTTTTAAGTATTTTAGGGCATCATAACCTCTTCCTAAAAGAATATCTTCTGGAACACAGAGTGAACCTTTCTGGATGGAGCAAGGGTGGCAGGACCCAAAGCACCATCTATTCTTGGCTCTTACAGAGCCCCTGTTCTTTATATTTATTGCAGAGTTAGGCAAGGTAAACATCACTGGGAAAGCAAAGGATCAACAGAACAGGTATCTTTTTAATGAAAACACTGCTTGTCAAACCAAGGTTTAATAATCAAATACAGCTGATCCTTGAACAAAATGGGTTTGAACTACATGGGTCCACTTATATCTAGATTTTTCAATAAATGTAACTTTTCAGTCTGTGGTTGGGAGTTCACAGGTGCAGAGGGCAGACTGCGTGCCTTGATCTGTACTTGTTTTTTCAGTACTAAGCTAGAATGGATACCTCAGTAGCTCCTATGGCTAATACATTTCTATCACTACAATTACTTCAGTAAACCTGGTTCCCCTCACTTCTAAAACATTATGCAGAGTTAATGATCAAATCTGCACAAACGACACCATTTTATATCGGGAACTTAAGCATCTGTGGGTTTTGGAATCCATAAGCAGTCCTGAAACCAATCCCCTGCAGATATCAGAGATAGTTAAGTTTTGGGGGAGTCAAAACTTATGTGGGATTTTTCGACTGCACAGGGGCCAGTGCCCCTGACCCCACCATTTAAGAGTTAACTGTGTGTGTGTGTGTGTGTGTGTGTGTGTGTGTGTGTGTTCTGGGACACACTCAGCTTAATGTGTTAAATTGCTGCTGTACACAAAGGCAGTCTTTAAGATGCAAAAAGTATCCTCAGAAGAGTTTGGGAAGTGATACAGAGCAGGCTATTTAAGATACTGGGCAAGGGCAACTGTTTCACACAAAGCGCAGGCGGCAAGGCTATGTGCTTCTGATTTATCAGCCGCAATTGTTCAAGGAAGTGGAACTGCCTCCAAATCACCCCTGTCAATACAGAGAACCAATAACACACTCAGGTCCAAATGTCTCAGGTGTAAAAGTCACATCTCATTACCATAATGGACCCGCAAGACAAGACAATTTATATCATTCAACTGCTTGAACTTCTGTGACAGTAGGAAAACATATTTAAAAATATGCGATCTCTGGCTTGTCCTGAGGCAGTTTCTGGGGTAGTTCTCTCTTTTTCCCTCTGGAATGCTGTGCATCTGGCTGCGGCACACAGAATCCTTTGTTCCCCAGCAAGGCGTCCCCTAACAGGGACTCTGCTCCCCTACTGTAACCGAACACACTGACATCTTACTAAAACTCAGTGTCTACTCAAAGCTCACAATTGTTGAAAGAACATTCCAGACTCAAAATAGAATCTAATCTTTGTGGTGCTAGAGTTCGCCCACATTTACATTAACATTTACATTGAAATGTAAATGTTAAGCCCCACATCTTACACAGATTCACATGAATATCCAATCCATCCGGTTTTTCTTTATCAAATTTAAGGTGTTATTTCACCTTTTCCCAACATGGCTTATATCATTTATTTTGTTTTTATTTTTCAAATTGTAATTCATGATTAAAATGAAACAAAATGGTTTTGCTCAAAAAATTTGGGACTGACAAAATCAGCTTATAGGGAACAGTGACTGTATGAGTTCACATATCAGTTTACCACTCTCAAGCCCTTTTTAACAGAGCAGATTCTGAGTATAATCAGATGCTTGTTCACATTTTGCATCCAGAGAAACACCATCACTTTCCCGGTTAGAACAATTTCATTGACTTAAAACCGAGGATTTGTTTTTATTCAACACTTCTGTTTTGTGAGTGATAAAGCACTACTGGAAATACTGAAGGAGCTAAAACAGAAGTGAAATTAAAAGGCAACCAGACACATCACCCTCCACTCCACAACGACTGCAGAGTGCATGTTCTCACTGGTGTGCATGGAACACACACCACGGCAGGACATATGCTGGGCCATAAAATACGGTTCAACAGATTTGAAGGACTGACATCTCAGCATGTTTTCTAACCACAATGGAATTATAAATCAATAAAATATTTTTAAAAATCTCCAAATATGTGTAAATTACACACTTCTAAATAACCCATGGGTTAAAGAAGAAAAAGACACAGAATTAGGAAGTACTTTAACAAAATAATAATGAAAACTATAACCCTAAAATCTACAGGATACAACTAAATAACCCCTTGAGAGAAATCTGTAACTTCATATTAGAAAAGATTTAAAACTCATCTAAGTTTCCTTCAGACAAGTACAAATTAATGCCAAAGTAATCATAAAGAATAAAAATAACTCAAAAGAAGCCAGACAAAAAATATAGAAAATTAACAAAGACAAAAGTCCTTTAACTTAGTTCTTTTTCTAAAGAGTTTGGTTATTCCTTTAATTTCCATATAAATTTTAAAATCTTTTCAATTTCTATAATAAAGCCTGCTGAGATTTTTTTAATGGTAACAGCTTTCTTCATATGTAATTCATTTACCACTCACTCATTTAAAATGTACAATTAAATGGGTATTAGTGTAGTCACAGAGCTGCGTAATCAACACCACAATTCAATTTCAGAACATTTCATCACTCCCTCGCACCCCCCAAACTATGCCTTAGCAGTCACTCCCCATTTCCTACCACCCCCAGCCCTAGGCAACCACTGATCTACTTAGTTCTCTGCAGGGTTGCCTCTCCCGGACAGTCCACACAATGGAATCACACAATAGTCGGTCTATGTTGCACTGTGTATCAGTACTTCATTCCTTTTTATGACTGTTTTTCAAGACTATAATAAAGCTACAGTAATCAAGATAGTACAATATTAGCATAAATACAGAAGAGTCTAGAAATAATCCAAAATCGACCCCACATTCCTCCCCAACATATCTGGTCAGGTCATTTTTAACAAAGGTGACAATGTAATTCAATGGGAGATGGGGTAGTCTTTTTCAAGAAATGATTCTAGAGCAATGGGATACCCATATGTGATTTAAAAAACAAAAAACAAAAAGTCTTAACCATAAGAAAAATGAAAAGTATACTTCACGGAGATTAAACATTTCTGATCTTCCAAAAACTCATTAAAAAGATAAAGACTTTGAGAAAATATTTATATCCAGATATAAAAAAGGAAAACAAAACAAAACAAGATTTGAGACATTTCACAAAAAAAAATACCTACATGACTACAAAAAAAGATGCTATCACCAGTCACCAGGAAAATACATGATGATAAATCAAACCTATTAGAACTAAAAAACTGTTCCAAACCAGCAACACCAAAAGTTGGTAAAAATGTGGAGCAAACGAAACCAAGGTGGGAGCATAATAGAGCAAACCTTTTCAAAAAACTTGGCAGTTTTTATAGTTGAACATGTACTTAACATTTGATCCAGCAATTGAAGAGGATGAAAACATATGCCCACCACAACACTAGGAACGTTCAGGACAGTTCTGGTCACACTAGCTAAAAATTGGAATATTCAAATGGTTTTTAACTGGTGAATAAACAAATTGTGGTATATATAGATCACGATATATCAAGTCTGTCTGGAAAAAGTCCAGCCATTGTTAATATAATGAGAATGGTTTGTTCAGGTTTGCATGACATCCATGTAACCTGGCAGCCAAGGAGAGTGGACTGGAACGCACATGTGTGAACAATGACAACTTCACTGTACTAGTCAGTGGGGCGGCAGATGCTGTTGAGTGAGCATGTGCACTGTGTGGCCATCGTATTCAAAACAACTGAGCCAGTCAGTAGAGCCACGAATCTGCATCAAATTTTCCATCAAGCTTGAATGTTCCCCCACGGAAACTACTGGGATGATTCAGAAGGCCGCAGCTATGGGCAGATGGTGCTCGGCAGCTTTGTCACAATGAGCCCACTTGTGCAACATGTCTCATGCAGAGCTTTTTGGTGAAATATCAAGCCACCCAGGTGACTCAGTCCCCCTATAGCCCCGATCTGGCACCATGAGACTTCTAGGTTTTCCCAAAACTAAAATCACCTTTGAAAGGGAAGAGATTTCAGATCGTCATGAGATTCAGGAAAATACGACAAAGCAGCTGACGGCAATTGGGAGAACTGTGTGAGGTCCCAAAGTGCTGACTTTGAAGAGGACTGAGGTGTCACTGTCCTATGTACAATGTGTCTTTATCTTCTTCAATAAATGCCTCTACTTTTCATAGTACATGGCTGGATGCTCTCTGGACAGGCCTCATATACAGCACTTAGCAATAAGAAGCTATAAACTACTGTTAGATGCAACACGGATGAATCTCAAAACATACTAATCAAGAGCCAGATGTAAACTTAAATACACTGTGTGGTCCCATTTACATTAACTTCCAGAACAGACAAACCTACAGTGAGGTAAAGCAGATTATTGGTTGCCTAAGGAAGAAAAGAGGGGTATTAACTTTAAAGGGGCATGGGAGAATATTTTGGAGTGATGAAAATGCTAAATCTTGATTGGCATGGTAGTTACACAAGTGTGCATTTTGCTGAAACTCAGTGATTACATAACTAAAGCATATGCATTTTATTTATGTAAAGTAACATCAATGAAGTTGACTTCTGAAAATTAGAAAACTCTAATTAGAATGCCAAGCATATTGTATACTGTTAAAACATGTGTGTAATGGTTAAGTCGTTTTAAAAATATGTATAATTAGTATCTTTCTAGACCTCACTTAATTTGGCATAATAATTCAAAATAAAGTAGGTTAAAAAATTCCATGGGAGGACTACCAGAGACCACTAAACAAAAGAAAGTTGCTTAACATGTTCTGGAATGGTATACGGCCCTGTGCATGACACTGAATCCTTGAGAAGAAGAACAGCCTAACTAAAAAGTGTGTGTACTAAAAAACAGAAAATAGGGCTGAACAAGTAGAATGGAGTTCACAGGTCCTTCAGGTGCATCCCTTCCCCTGAACAGCCATGGTATTTCTTGTTTACCCAAGTGGTTACTGGCCACTAAGTTTCAGAGTATTAATCTTGTTTTCCTTATTATATGTTGTTCTCCTCAAGAACAGCAAGCGACCATGTCTTACACTTCTTTTATACCATCCCAAGGGGCCAAGGACGACAGATATTCTGGCTTCACTTATCTGTGAACTTATAATTGTGTTGCAAAAAATAAAAAGGGGGTGAAACACTAGTGTACCCAGCCAGCCCATCTAGCCTAAACATTATGTCCAACATGTGCAATGTGAAAGCCCCCGATGTGTGCAGCCTAAGACATTGGAAAGCACCTGCCTCCCCATATGAACGGTTTCAGTAGGGAAGGTGAGTATTTCCAGAGTGAAAAAAGACAGCCTGAGGCGGAAGAAGGGGAGTTAGTGGCTGTGGTAAACAGACAAAAACCAAAGGAAAGGTGTGCTGTTGTGTTTTGAATGACTTTTAAAGAGATTTAGAGGCATAGCAAATGAGATGAGACCTGAGTGATTCCTCTTAAATAGCAATGTTTATAAAATCAGCAAAACCCAGGGAAGAGTGTTTGTTACTTTGACATAGCAATTCACATGAATTTTCATTTCTCACGTTTAAATAAAAAGCGAATGCTTTCTGATTATCAGTATGTTCTCACTGGATAATAATTAATAATGGTTAGGATAATATGGACTACCTCAATCATGTCCAGAGTCTAAAACAGTTTTAAAAGTTTTCCATTTCAGATCATGTGAGAAGACCAAAGGAAGGAGACAAATAGAACATAACATTTCAATGAGAAAAGAGAGAAAAACAAAAGCAGTCAGTGCTGGCTCCCTGCACATGCAGAACGTCTCTCCGGAGAACAGTGGGCCACCCCTAAGAATCCGAACAGTACTTTATTTGGGGTGTGTGGGGGGGTGTCACATAATCTCTGCTGGAAACAACATACACACACGTTAAGAATATTAAAGAAATGGTAAGGATTGCCAAAGCTACCGTACATTTGGGGTCACAACAGGGAATGCTGTTGTGGGGAACAGCAACAGAAGCTGCCTTCTCTGGAGAACTGCCACCGTCCAGCCAGAGGCAACTGGCAACCGTGGCCGTTTTGGGGAAAGTGGTATGGCAGAAAGAATAATCAGCTTGAAAGCTCAAGCTGATGTAGCTTTTAAGCGTTCTGACAGATTAGGCCATGACCATTCCACATTTATTTTCAATGGAATAGAACAATGGAATAACTCTACCTTTGGATTCTTGCCCTCTTTTGCCAATAATGCCCGGAGCCTTTCTTGTGAAGGGGGTGCAATAAAAATAATATACGGTTTCAAGTCCGAATTCCGGAGAGCCTTCAATGACTGAAAAGAAAAGATATTTTGGATCTTTAAAAAAATTCTCATCACTTAACTACTTCCCAATAATGTAAGTACAATATAATGTCAATTAAAAATTACCTACCAGTGTCCCCAAACATCTTTGTAACAAAAAATTCACAGTATTTTAAGATCCTACCATTCACTGTAAAAATATATTGTGTACTTATAAAATCACACACAAACACATGCTATTGGTTCACTCTTTTCATGTAATGGAATGAAGTGAATGGCAATGAAACATTACAACTATGTGATGCTAAAATACCCTGCTCATTAGATCACAAGCAGATGTTAATGACTACATTAAAAATCCATTTTAGAGGAATTAGAAATGAGCAGACACCTTATATTATGCCAGGGTCTAAACACAAGCACAATCAGAGAGAAAAACTGCATGTACACATACCAAAAAAAAAAAAAAAAAAATTCTGGAGAAGTCCATCCAAGAAAAAGCAGACTCAGTCTGAATGAGGGGGTCGTGGTTTCCACTTTGCCTTTCCCACCGCATCACAGTGTGCCCACAAGCTGAAGCGCTCTGTCACAGTGGGAATTGCAGGGACATGCCCCCTATTATTAATCTAAAATCATTGTTAAGACAATATGCTTAATTTCTCTATGTTTCTTTGGTACAACTGCTAGCCCAAATAATGTAAGAGTTCTGAAGGAATTTAGTAAATACATTTATACTTCTCTTAAATGTTTACAACTGAAATAGTAGAGACTAAACACTCTGTCCACTAAAAAACAAAGAAAACCTACTCACTATTTCAAGAGAACCATTTCAGAGTCTGCTTCCTTCTTGCACATGTGTTTAACGACACTGCCTAGGTTTCCCGAGCTGACGCAGGCAGCAGATTCTGCCACATTAAGGGATGTTTTATGCTCAAGCTGCCTGGTCTAGAAAAACTTTTCCACAACAAACACAATCTTAAAACTCCCAAATTTCTAAAATTATTTTGTTTTTTAATGGAAATCAAAGCAATGTTAATTATTTTTAACTTTTTGCTTAGTCTGTGAAATAATAGAAACCAGTGGAAGTTTCATTATTTAATACAACTAAGCATCTCTTATACTTGCTACTTGAACAATGGTACTTAAAACGTCAAATATGACCTCTAATTTTTCTTAGTTAAGAATCTGAAAAGGGAAATTCTTTTATAACCTCTAAAATCCTTAAAGCACTACCAGTATTACAGTTACTGTACTTTATGTTTTAGAAAATATGTTTGTGAATATATGTAGGTATATATGTATTTTACTTGCTGAGGAAATTGAGATTTAGCAATCTGTCTGACTTCTCACAGGGAAGCAGTAGGAAAAAGCTGTGTAAGAACTTAATTAGTTCCTATGGACCAATTAATACTATCGCCCTAAATTACTTTGCAAAAAATGCCCTCAAGTTCAATACCCTAAACCAAAAGAGATTTACCTGTGTACGTAGACTTAAAAGACATATTTTCCCAGAGTTGATCACTTGACGTACAGAATCTATGCTGGTTCCATACAAGTTTTTCTCAAATTCGCCATGCTCAATGAACTTTCCGGCTGCTATGTCTGCCTCGAACGCTTGCCGAGAAACAAAGTGGTAATCTCTACCGGCTACTTCGTGGTCTCGCCTACTGCGAGTTGTGTCTAAGCAAATAAAATTAGATAAAATAATTGGCACAGATCAGGGTAAGGGTGGGACATAATCTTGTTAATTAGAAAAAGATTTTATTTTATAATACAGAAAACAAAATAATTGAGAAAATGTTAAGAGCCCATGTGTTTAACACTGGTTTAATTTCTAGATGGAGAAATGAAAGTATGTTTTTAGTATCTTATTAATAGTTACATTTATAACTTTCTTATATTTTAAGTTACTGCATCTTGCATTTAAAACACTACTACTCACCTTTCCAGAAGTTTATTTCTGTAAGATTAGGTACTATATAAGGTACCATTATAATTTTTAAGCAGGACTTCTGTGTTCAGAGATTATGTCTAAATTTCTATCTTCTGCATCAGTTTAAAAAAACAGAAGTTGACTTCTTATTGAACAGCGAACCATAAGAAGCACAAAATAAAATTCATTTAGAAAGTAATTAGTACCATATTCTTAGGAAAAATAGAAATTTCCCAAGAAGATTTCGTTAAAACAAGATTCCTCTTTTCTGGGCAACACTGTTCTGATGAAATAGACGAAAACTTTCCCTACAGTCAGGTTCTGAGGTGGTGAACTGAAAAGCACAGGAAAATGGGAAAGCATCCAAACTCACGAGGAACTGCAGATGCGAAGCGGTCTTTCTCTTTGTTCATGAGCCTCTGACGCAATTCATTCTGGCCACAGTTCTGTGGGCCAATCAAAATGATAGGTCTTTTCCTATTTGCTGGCTGATGATAAAGTGACATTTCCTCGTAAGTTAAGATCTCTTCATTGTCATAGTCTTTAAAAAAAGAAAAAATTAAGACCTTCAGACAGAATTAGTGCTATGTAATAAACATATATCCATAGGTCTTCTAAAAAATATTGGAAAGAGCACAATTTCTTATTAAAAAACGCTAACTTTTTGGATCAAGATAGTAGCATGAGCATCTTCCCAGTCATTATATCCTTTCCAGGACACTATGAAAATAAACCAGACCACACAGTAATTGTTCTAGACATGCTTTTCTTGTTTCCTACTGTGGTTCTGAATGTTTAATACAATACAACTACACTGATTCTTATGTAAAATAGGTAATTTACAGCCAACATTTTGACAGAGGGTGAGGCACCAGGGGATAAACTAATGAGAATAATATCTATCATTCTTGTAAAATACTAACACTTTACTTAGAGGGTTGGTTTAAGGACTAGACATAATGTATATGCTGAGTGTAATACACAGCACAAACATTCACAAGTAGTGGCTACAACTATTGGTATCAGAGAATGCTGAAATACTTTTCTGTGATTTGAGAACTTAAAGACAGGTGGTATCTGTCCCGTTTAAATTTCCTGCATTTATACTTACTTTATTCTGGAATACCTGAGGTCATGATTCAAAAAGAGGTACGAATTATGACAGGTGGGGTAACATTCCTAAAGCCAGTAATTCAGATGAAATCAGAGCTGTTAAGTGGTGAGAACAAAGGCAGACAGTAGCAGCCTGCCACCTTCTCACTCATATGAATTCACCTGAGAAAGAGCGCCAGTGTGTGGTCAGACCCTCTCAGCTGTAAGCTCCATGGGGCAAGGGAACATCTCAGTCTCACGCGTGGTTGGCACAGCGCAGAGTAGGATGCAAACGTATTTGTTTAAATTCCAGCTCCACTCTATCTTAGCTGTAAGAACCCAGGCAGGGCACTTCAATACCCGAATTTGAATTTATCAATCTGGAATCTCACGGAATTTATTCTGAGAACTTAAATGGATGAAGGTATCTAAAGCATATACAGTTAGCCCCCTAGAATAAAAGTTATTATGAAAACAGTTATCATTAATAAAAATATTAATTATGATGACACCATTATGAACAGAAATGTAATTCCTTCCCTTCCCAAAATGCTTTTCACTCTGAAAAATCTGAGTTCCTTCTTCTAATATGTATAATCAGGCTGTGGCAGACTTGTGATTTACAGACTTAGTTTATAATCTGTAGACTTCAGATGTGCAAGTTTTCCAGACTGTAATAGCTATTACAGCTGAATAGATTAATTTTGGTATGTTTGAAACAATGAAAAAAGATATTAGTCACTTATCTGCATTTAGAAAAAAAGGATTAAAAATTCAGTAAATCTTAGTTACATACCAATTACCATTAAGGATGTTTATTTTGGAAAAAATATTTTTTATTAAAATAGATGAAATCTCAGATTTAGTTTTATATGGAGTTTTTCAATGATCTGTAATATTTTATTTTCATTGCTTTAATTTATGCTGCCTGAAAAATATTTCAAGGTATTGAGAGAATATTTCAAGGTACTGAGAGAAAATATTTCAAGGTTTAAGAAGTTCAAGATTGCCTTGACTTTATTATCTGCCTTGTTTCCAACGTGAACCAAAGTAGAGGTAATGAAGTCTAATGTCCAAAAAGACCAATGAAGAAGGTGATGAAAGCAGTCAGTCAGGTGTGGTTTATAAAAAACTGGATGCTGTAGAAACTGTTGAACTAAGACAGCAGGTACCCAATGTAAACCCAATAGCCACTGCTCAGGTCCTGCAGAATGTTGTCACTTGAGAACCTGAGCCACATGTCACAAAAGCTTCTGATGCAGAGATTAACTACTGGCCTCTGTGGTGTGCCAGACCCTGCCAGCAGGAGGCAGGCTCTGTGGAATGGGCTGCCTCGGTGACAGGAGTTGCTATGGACAAAATATTCACTGTTCACTTAAAATACAGATAGAGTGTTAGAATTTGTTAGAAGCTTGTATTAATTTCACAAATAAAGAGTTTAAGTGGGAAAGAATTAAGAGGAATTTCAATTCGGTTTCTTCAAGATTAAAGAAATATCAGTATAATACTATATATGTTAATCATACTTTAATTTTTATACCATTTTTCTCAGAATTCAAAACACTGCATTACTCATAGGATTCCAAAAGAAAATCATTTTTGCTAAATTACTTTCTTAACCCCTTGTGTCATATAAAGAGGCAAAACAGGATGAGAAACAAAACTGCCTGAAAATACCATTTAATTTCTTTGAAGTGTTAAATATTGGGCCTCGTTCAGATACAAATCCAGCTACCTCTAAGAGTGGAACTTACCATCATTTTTATTGGCATTATATAAAACCTTTTTCCTCTTCTTCTTATTCTTCTTTGCACACCATAGCTTTCCTGTTGAATAATCATAAGTATAACTAAATATGGTATTTGTTTCCTTGAATAAAGCTACATATTTCAAATTGAAGAGCTCAGTTTTTCAACTGAAGAAGCTACAGTTTTTTTTAAATTGAATTTATTAGAGTGACACTGGTTTGCCAAACCACACAGGTTTCAAGAGTACAACTCAATAAATCACCCGCACACTGCACTGAGTGCCTATCGCCCCGTCGTAATCCATCTCCGTCCCCATTCCCCCCTTTGCCCACCTCCACCTAGCCCCCACCCCACTTTCCCTCCGGCTAACACCACACGGTTGTCTGTGTCTATGAGTTATGTGTATAAGTTTTTTTAAAATCCTCACTGGAGGACATACTTACTGATTTTAGAGAGAGGGGAAGGAAGGGGGAGAGAGAGAGAAACATTGATTTGAGAGAGAAACATTGATTGGTGGCCTCTTCTATGTATACGTCCCCCAAACAGGAACTGAACCTATAACCAAGGCATGTGCCCTGATGAGGAATCAAACCCGCGACTTTTTGGTTTACAGGCTGATGCACCAACCAAGTAAGCCACACCAGTCAGGGCTGCATGTAAGTTTTCTGGCTAATCCATTCACCTTCTTTCACCCAGTCCCCCAAGCCCCTCCCCTCTACAGCTGTCAGTCTGTTCCACGTGTCTCTGCCTCTGTTTCTGTTTTGTTCGTCAGTTTATTTGGTTATTAGTTTTTAGTTTAAATTTATAAACACTACATTCTTCATAGAAAAACTATTTTTCAGGGAAGTATTTATAATTTTCCATTAATCTCACATTACAGATCAACCACCTTTAATATTTAAACCTTGCCCTTTCTTTACCGTTTCTAAGATAATCAGTTTTGCCTCTCACATCACTCCTGCTGTGAATACATCTTTCTTGACAGTTCTGATATGTAAATTTAAATGTGGTTCCGGATGAAGACCCAAGAAACCTCTCACTAATGTCAAATAGGAATCTCCAACCTGATTTTTCTGGCTCCTTATCTTCTTCTATGGTTTGCTTCATGGCTTCCCTTTGCTGCTGAAAGCTTTTCCCTTAACAGAAAAAAAGAAAAAGAATAAAATATTTAAGACAAAGAATAGAAGTAAAAAAAAAAAAAAAACAAGGAAAACCACCAGCAGTAACTAGTCATTAATATTCCCTTCTAATTCCTTCTGCCACCTAAGAGTGTGTCAGCTGTCACTTTAAGCCTCCAAATGTTTAAAGCAGAAAGTTTTAACCTCACTCTCAACTGACCCTAAGGCATGTATTACTAGAATATAGCACATATTAGAAAAGATCAATAATAAACTCTAGTGTTAGGAAATTTAATAGTTCAATTTTTACAAAGCTTTAATGGAGCATTACTAAGTGGAAAGCACCATGCTGGATCTTACAACGGTTGTGATCATTTAGAATTATCTGAGATCAAGCAAATTTATTCTAGAAGCTAACTTTCCAAAATAGTATGTAAACATTCATCACTTTTTGATCCCAAGACACCACTAAACATATTCCTTTGCATTTATTGTTCTCTATACCTTTTACTTTGTATGCATATATGTACGTATATGTTTTAATGATTTTTTTGTTGTCACCTTTACTAATGACACAGATAAATGAAAACACACTGTTTTTCCTTTCAGGATTAAGCTTTTAATATAGGAGGCTTTCAAGGTTTCTGACCTTCATCTTCTTTTAGACACCTATCTTAAAACTAAATGTATTTTTTCTGAAGGCTAAAAATAGTTTTACCTATAAAACTCTAGGTTCAAGTTCTACTTTTATATTTAATTTTTATATCTAATTCTAGGCAATTTCCATCCATGGTGGAATAATCTATAAAATGTAGTGTATTTCATAAAGCATAAGCAAAAACACTGAGTTTGGCATGCATAAGCAGCCTTAAAGGAAACCAGGTCTTCTCCAGGTGCTGTACTGGCTGCATTCCTAGTGAAACCAGTAACTACAACTAGAGGGAAAATTTTAAGAGCGTTAATATTTAAAAATGAGTACTTGTCTTTAACAGATTAAAAAATAAGGAAGAAAATAATTTTAATCATTTACATATTAAAATCTTAAAAACATTACAGTGTTATATTTCTACAGCACGCTTTTACAGTATATACATGTGTAATTTTTTGAAATAGAGGCAGACATTAATGGGACATAATGGACATTATGATCTCTTAAAAATCCTTCTAACAGAAAACCATTATCATGCTCAAGCTAAGAAGGGTCTATTTACTTGTCCTATAAAAAGACCTGCAAATGACATCACTGAAATCTCCTTGCCTGATCCATGCACTAGTACTTTCAGAAAGTCAATGCAATCGACCTGTCAATAAACACCAGTTCTAAATATTTATGGGCTAAGGCTGACACAACGAGAAGATATCGAATTAGTATTTGGCAGAAGCACTGAGCAGAGAACCACACGGCTGCTCAGTATTCCAGGATTCCAGAGGAATGTCCTGCAACTGGTGCTGTGAAGAATCAAGGGTGTAGCATCGCCCTCTACACTTGATATAAGCAGCTCATTCCTCCTTTCTTGAAATATGACCAAGTATAGACAAAATCTGTCTTCAGCTTTTGGATTTAAAAACCGATGACTTTTGATTTTCTATAACCTTATTACACACATAAAGGACAAATGTAAATATATTACATCATAATTTCATCTTCAAGCCCAACAAATTGGTCAAAATTATATTCAAGATACTTATGCTGCAGCTATAACATAAAAACCCAACTTCATGAAAAGTAATTGCATCATTTTTATTCATTATCGCTATTTTGATTTTATTCACTTATTTTTAGAGAGATGGGGAGGGAGGAAGAGAGGGAGAGAAACATTGACGTGCGAGATGTACATCAATCGGTTAACTCTCTCTCACACACCCCCAGCTGGGGACCTGGCCTGCAATGCAGGCATGTGCCCTGACCAGGAATTGAACCAGTGACCCCTGAGCTCACAGGCTGGCACTCAATCCACTGAGCCACATAAGCCAGGGCTAATTACATCATTTTAAAAAGGGGTGAAAAGGTTATTTTCCTTTATGAATGTTTGTTTTATAATTTTTTTAAAACTCTGTACATTCTACTATATTGTCCTTACCTGGAACAAGCCCAGCCAGAGGCTGATTATCTTCATCCCCTTCCCTGTAGGCCTGCCACCAATTTGGATCTTCTTGACTGATCACATGAAGTATATCGCCTTTTTGAAATGACAGCCCTAACTCTCGACATGGAACATAAGGGTCATCTGAAGGGTCATAGTCAAAATGAGCTTTTACATGGATCTAAAAGATAAAATGGGTAAAATGGGAATAAAATAATGATGAAATGGGAACACAAAATAGTGAGCATAAATACAATTAAAGTGTTACATTTAGTACAGAAAAATTAAGAGTTGAAAGAAGGGAGATTTAGTTAAATAACAGCATTTGGGGGCAATATTTTTCTCAGGCTCCTCTGTTTTCTTCAATTAAGTTCATCTCTCTGTTGACTTCAAACATGTGTAAGAGTACGCAAAACACTGTATGTCAGCCACTAACAAGCGGAGGTACTGAAGAGCTTCCAAGGCTTAATATAGAAGCAGAAGGAATGTGATACAGACACCCGCCCCCATTTCGGACCTGTAAAACAGAAACTCTGCAATGCCCCCTCAGGTATCCCAAACCTGTAAAATGGACCTCTTGATCTTTCTCCCCAAATCTGTTTTCCTCCAGATTTCCCTTTATAAGCAGCACCACTATCCACCCACTTGCTCCAGCACCCTTGCTTCCTCCCTTTCCTTTACTCTCCACTTTCATTACAAGGTCCTGTCATTTTTACTTCCAGAACACAGCCTGATTAATTTTCTCCACTGCAACTGCTACCATCCAAGTTTAAGCCATTATCATACTTCATAATGACTTCAGCGAGAGTTTCCTAGTTCCCCTTGCTTCCGTTTTTTAAAAATTGTTGTTCAAGTATGGGTTTCTCCACCCCACCCCTTTCCCCCGCCCTACCCTCGATCCTCCCCCGCCTTTGGTTTTATCCCTGTGTCCTTTATACATGTTCCTTGACGACTCTTCCCCTCATTGGGCTATTCTGATCCAATTTCTACACAGAAGCCAGAGTGTTTTTTCAAATACAAATCAGATCATTTGCTGTCTTTGAAATCCGAACTCCCTGCCATGGCCAAGCAGGCCTACCTGGCCTGGCCTCACCTACCTCTGTAGCATCTCTCAGAATCCCCTCCCCACCTTTCTCCACTCCTGCTTTGCTCCACGCCCTCAGGCCTTCCCAGCACAGTCCTTCAGAAATTCCACCTGAAAGCCCTGTGGCAATGAACAGGCCTGGTCGTCCATCGGCTCGGCTTCATGTTGCCTTCTCCTTCCCCGAGACCTTCCCAGACCACCCCTCTTCTTTTTATTCTCAATGTTCCCCTGCTGCTCATTCCTACCTTAACACTTACTGCAGGCTATAATTATTCTGTGTCATGTTCATTACTATAACCCAGTGCTTAGCTCAGTGTCTCATACACAAAAGAGACCCAAGAGATATTCATTATAAGATGAAAAATTACTTGGGATCCCTACGAAAATATTTCAATAATTAACATCACTGGGCTAGTGGCTAATTCTGAGGTTTGGATTCCTACACTGCAATTTTAGCATCCTCCTATCCTGAGCCTTTAAGCTCCCCTTAAATGACTTCTCTCTATACTACCAAGCTAGACCCCACAAATCAAAAGACGTCATGAAGGCATGCTCCCAGTCTTATTAGAGGTAATTTCAAATACTGAAATCTCATAATATGTTTTTGTTCTTCTCAGAATCCAGACTATCACACACATAGTTACTAAGAGGTTGTTAATTCATCTATATTTACAATTTTCTATCATGATATTCTAACTATTTTCTTTGGACTGATGATAAACAGTACGGCATAAACAACCCAGTATTTAGTGGTTTTAAAGGACATTACCTGTTACACTACACAGCAGTTAAGAGCACAGACTCTGGAATGGGCACAGGTTCTAGTCCTGACTCAGTCACTTACCAACAGTAGCCTTGTACAATTAACTTGACCCTTCTAAGTTCTAGTTTCAATGCCTATTGAATGGGAATAATAAAGATATCTACCATATTTTTAGGACTTTAAGACGCACCCAGGTTTTAGAGGAGGAAAATAGGGAAAAAATTTTTGAAGCAAACAAATGTGGTAAAATATTTAATAACCTGTGACCCTGCTCCACTGCCCCTCCCCCTCCCACAGCAAGCCGGGTAAGCTACATTTGGACTGTAAGACACGCCCCCATCCCCTGCCAATGCGGGGGGGGGGGGGGGGTTGCATCTTATAGTACAAAAAATAAGGTGTTTTTCATAAGGATGCTGTGAGGATGAAATGAGATAAAACATATAAAATAATTAATACCATGCCTGGCACAGAGTAAGTAAACATAATAGCTAACGTTTACTGGATAATTAATAATCTGAATTCACTAATACCCAGTGTGATCCTGCTACATTTCAATTTACCCCTGTTAGATTAGGGCATTAGACTAGATGAAAGACTTGTTTGGGAACTCCTTTTCTTTTTTTTTGAAGGTAATGTGGAGAGAAAGAAACTACACAGTTTAAGCAGTGCATGTTTCCTGGGATAAATGGGTCAGTCACCCAGGAAGTGAATTACAAATGACAAAGCAGCCACTTGTTGCTATGTGTGATGAGTAAGGGAGTCTTTCTCCTGACACAGTTTACTCTCACCATGAGTGATGTTATAATTCAGAAAATGATCACAGTGATGTTTCAGATAATACCTATTCTGTTTATTTTAAATACATGTTTCTGGTATCACAAAACATACATCAGAAAGATACCTTTGCTCTTACTAGATCCTGACCTGTACCATGATAACGCTTAATAAATTGGTTTTAATTTCTTAAAATCACTAATAATTATTCTGAATATGCCAAATATGACTTCCTGTCACTGTTTTCTTTCTGGAATCCTTCAGGGCGAACTTTTATAACAGTAGTTCATTTTAAGCCAGTTAGGTTTCAGAAAAACTTTGGAAGAGGTAATGCAACTGCGAGTTCTTCACAATAAAAGGAGGAAATGAGGGCAAATAGAAATATTACCAACACTTTTTACTTTGAAAAGATCTCTACCAATAAATGCTGTATTTTAAAAGAACATCCTTTTGTTTCTCTGTCTCCCCCCCCCTTTTAAAGCCATGCAAGGAAGGACACATTCCAGCCCTTCTCTGTTGCGTGTTCTCCAAGTGCAGCCCTACTTGTGACGTTCAGGGCTTGTTCACAGGAGAGGTATGTGGAGAGGCGTAGGGCAGAGAATCAGGTTCCTGAAGTTTAGATACAAACTATTTCCTCATTTCTCCTACTACAAAGAACTTTAAACAGAAAGAAGGTTGCAAATGCACTATCAAATTCGGTATGATCCATAAAGAATAGGGGAAAAACATGGAATGAAAGGCAAATGATAAGTATAACTGTGATGAAATATTAAGAAAAAAAACTGTGTTCTTTTTCAAACTGTCATGCTTTTATAAAAATGAAGAATAGTAACAGATGTAATATATCAGGATTCCATATTAATCCAGCACTTTAAAGTCTATCGTTTTTAATTGAGGTATAATTCATACACTATGCGTCACCCATGTATACAGCTGGATGGTTTTTAGTGAATTCAGAGCTGTGCAACCACCAATTTTCAAGACACACTACTGGTCAGGAATCCCCCCACCCCCTCCTAACTCCTACACTTAAGGAACTACTAAGCTGCTTTCTGTCGCTGTAGATTTACCTGTTCTGGACAGCTCATATAAATGAACCAATACATAGCCTCTTGTGACTGGCTTCATTCACTTAGCATAATTTTACCAAGGTTCATCCATGTTGAAGCATATTAATATATAAGTACTTTTATTCCTTTTTATTACCCAATAATATCCCATATATCATTTCCCATGAATTAGCAAGCAGACGCTTGGGCTGTTTCTACTTCCTGATTATTATAAATAATGCTGCTGTGAACACTCACAAGTTTGTGTGAGACATGTGTTTTCAATTCTCTTGGAACACACCTAGGAATGGAACTGCTGGGTCATAAGGTAAGAAAGTCTGTCTTTTCATATAGCTAGTTAATATAACATAAAGAGCAATACATGTTGTAAGTGTTGTACATACTTTGTAAAAGCACTTTTCTCCCCTACACTAAGTATATTTAAGTTACATAAACCCATATATAATGTCAGAAAAAGAGAGTTCAATGTTGTAAATCATAAAAACTCTGAAAAAAAGTATATGAGTTTACTCAACTTGAAATACTGACATTTCATATTTACTTAAATAAAATCTACTGACTTTGTTTTTATTTGAGTGCCAGAAATATTTAGGGCAGCATTTCCGATACTCAAACAACAGCATTTATGGTACAAGTTTCAGTGTGGACTTAAGTTTAAAGAACTGGAAACACACATCCACACAAAAACCTGCACATGGATGTTTATAGGCAGTGTTATTTGTAATCACGAAAACCTGGAAGCAACCAAGACGTTCTTCAGTAGGTGAGTGGATAAACTTGTTTATCTGGACAACAGAGTATTTTATTCAGTGTTAAAAAGAAGTGTGCTAGCCCTGGCTGGCGTAGCTCAGTGGATTGAGCTCAGGCTGCGAACCAAAGCATCGCAGATTCGATTCCCAGTCAGGGCACATGCCTGGGTTGCAGGCCATGACCCTCAGCAACCACACATTGATGTTTCTTTCTTTCTCTCTTTCTCCCTCCCTTCCCCCTCTAAAAATAAACAAATAAAATCTTAAAAAAAAAGAAGTGTGCTACCAAGCTATGAAAAGATACGAAGGAAACGTCAATGTTTATCACTAATGCTAAAGCCAACCTGAAATGGCCACCTGTGTACTGTAAGATCCCAACCATATGACATTCTGGAAAAGGCAAAACTATACAGATCACTGTTTGCCACAGTTGCGGGGAGGAACAGACAGAGCACAGAGGGTTTTTAGGGCAGGGCAACTATTCTGTATGATACAATGGTGAACGAATGTATGTAATTATACACTTGCCAAAACCTACAGAATGCATGCACACCACCAAAAGTGTACCCTAATATACACTATGAACTGTGAATGATAATGGAACCATCAATTCACTGATGTAACAAATGTCACACTCGGGTACAGGATGTGGATAGTGGGGGAAATTATCCATGCGTGCAGTTAAGAAGTATATGAAACTCTGGACTTTCTGCTCCAATTTGCTGTGAACCTAAAACTACTCTAAAAAATAAACTTCATTAATTTAGGAAAAAAAGTTAAAAGTAGCCATCAGATAGTAAGCAATGAACAAAAAAAAAATCACTTACTACAGTTTCCTTGGCAGGAGGAGGCTTGATCTGTTGACTGGGAATCAGAACAAATGTCAAAGTGCCATGCATATCAGACTGTAACAGAGAGATTAGGTAATTTTTAAGATGCATACTTACGAAAATCATTTCATGATCTTATGATCAATATTCCCTAAACTGGATGGAACCATTAAGAGACTCAAGAAAATCAGTAAAGATTAATCCCATTTTATCAGGAGCACAAATTCTGCCTTTCATGGACTCCACAGTAGTAGAACTGTCCAGTAACATGACATTCTGTGATTCTGGCACACTGGGGAAGGCCATTTAGCACGTAAGTCTTGGGTTCTGGTCTTCTACTCAGTGTAGTTTAGGAAGATTCCACAGTGAAATACCACAGTGCTATAGTAATTTTGGGTTATCTAGTCTGACACACATCAATTTTAATACAGAATTGGAAACAGTAATTGTGACCAGGATTAGAAAAGTGATGCAAATATACAAATATTCTTACTTCCCAGATGCCCTACCTCTGTCATCCGTTCTATTTTTTAACTATATAGAGCCTCACTGCTAGGTTCCCTATTACTTCCTAGCACATTGTTAAGTGGAGTGTTCAGATTCCTCCAGCCTAGACAGTGATACACTGTCTAGACAGTGATTGTAATTTCCGGTCCTGAGACAGGAAGCAGCGCTCTACCAAGAGAGAGCGGCCAATAAAACAAGGGCTAAAAATGATGACCACTGGCACTTTGTTCTACCGAAGCAATGAATGAACAGACAGGGCAGAGAGGATTTTTAGGGCAAATAAGGATATAATCATGTTTTAGATCGATTCTTCAACAGACATCAGCAGATAGGAGAGATTCTATTGTAACAACTAATGTTAGGTCAGTAGGAATATATATCTGGTTTGTGGGTATACACGTAGTGATCATAAATTGCTGTCAAAAGTTGTCTACAAATGGCTTCCTGATTATACGAGCACTAATAGAACTTTCTACGATGATAGAAATGTCCTACATATACACCTCAATACGGGAGCCAACAGCTGCATACTGCTCTTGAGCACCCGCAATACAGCTTGTATGAACGAGAACTCAATTTTATTCAACTTATATTGGAATAACTACCACATGTAGCTACTGGTCAATGTAGATGTATACCACTGCTATTACCTAATGTTGTTAAGTAAACAACAATCAACTGTGGATAACAAACAAAATGAATATAAAAATGAGGGTATGGACTTTGTTTTGTTATTCTTTCTCTAGCAGCCGGCACACAGGAGGCACTCAAATAAATATATGTTGATGAATTAATGAGATACATTAGTGACTTCAGAGGTAAATAAATATATCTAATACAGCTCAAAATAAAAAAATATCAGTAGTACCCATCGTAAAATAATACTACTGGATCAATATTGTAGAAATAATATTATGCAAAAATTAGGCTAGAAATGATCTCGTGCTCTTAACAATTATTTTTAAAATGCTTTAAAATATTTTACTCTGATGTCTAATAATTAAAAAACCCAGCTTTCAAGAACTTACCAATTATTATTCTACCTGTGTCAACTTACCAACAAGTCAAAAACCTCATTGACATCTTTCCCCCGAATTTCAATGCCATTAATCTCCAGAACTTCATCTCCTTCATGTAAAAGACCACTTTTCTCCGCAGCACCTCCTTTTACTATCCGACTGATGATGACAGAATCCATTTCATTACGAACTGTAGCACCCTAACAAAATTCAAAATTCAATTTTAAAATCAAAATGCAATTCTGGTTGAACATTTCTTCATTTTTAAATTATTTTTTCTATTCAATAATACTAGCCTTCAGTTATCTTGAGGAAAAAAATGACTTACACAGCTAGAGTAATCACGATAATTAGGTTTGAAAGTTGACCACTTTCCTCACATATTCTGCTTCAGAAACATTCCATTCATTAAAATTCTAAAATCAAGCAAACTTTTGAAGTATACGACAGAAAAATGTACTTGCTTAACAACAGTGTGAAGACTATAATCAAATTTGTTCTCTATATTCTGGATACTATTCAAAATGATTATACTATATTTAGGTGTAATTAGTGAACATGACATAACTATAAAACTCCTTTTTAAAAATTAAATATATAAAGGAATGAATACTAATCTGATTATTATTCAAATGTTAAATATTATAGCTACATCCAATGCACATTAAAATGTATTAAACATTAATATTTATTACACGAATTAGAAACGCAACTGAAATATATACATTCAGAAAATGTAAATATAAAATACGGAAAAAAGCCTGAAAGTAGACTGAGTTTGTAACATTTTCTCCCAAACTTTTGTCATAACTCCCAATTTCTTTTTTCTGGTGGGGAAGAACACTAAGTTACATAAACTGCCCATAACATACAGGCCCTAATTCATGTATCACACTATTCAAAACACAATTTGAGATGAGGATTCAAGAATATCCTCTGAAAATTAAGGAAGGAAAATTAAGGCAGTAATAGCAGACTAAGAGGAGACTGAAAAAAGTTTTACATATAAAAGCTATAGAACAAATATTAACATTAAGGAACATATACTTCTAAATACATGTGAAGTGTGTAAGTATTGTGTTTCAACAGATTTAACTGAATGAAAAAATCAGACTTTTTAATTATTTTTTAAAGCTGGGAGAATAAAAAATCACATTATTTGTCCCTTTGTTCCTCAAAAATTATTTCACAAGCTACCATTTTCATCAAATTATGGGTGAAAAGATGATGAATAAATTTTTCTCTGAATAAGAAGTATGAGGAAGAACATGAAAGAATTCCAAGCAACTGACCTCAAAGGAGAAAAACTACTAGAAACATAAAGGAGCCTTCACCTATCTGCCATACAAGACCCCCGTATAGAAAGAATCGCACTCAGATCAGAGACGGGGAATACTTACCAGTGGAATATCTCGAGCCTTCTCTATGCGAACTATTTTTACAGTTTCTCCTCCATAATGGCCAACGCTTTCATAAACTCTCTCATCTGTAATGGGCTCCAGTTGCATTTCCTGCTCAGCCACCTTGTCATGGGCCAGTAGAAGCGCCTGTTTCAAAAAAATCCACAGGATTTAAAGTAACAGCATGACTCACTTCTCTAGAGATTTTAACTTAATCATATACAGAGTGTGGCAGAAGTAGGTTTACAGTTGTTTGTATGAAAATATTACAACAATAATAAAAGAATGAACTGTTTTGTGTACTCAAAACTGTAAGTTGACTTTTGTTCTACCCTGTAGTATTCTGATCATTAAACCTTTACTTTTTAAAAAATATTTCATTTACTTATTTTTAGAGAGGGGAAAGGAGAGAGAAAGAAGGGGAGAGATACATCAACATGTAGTTGCCTCCCCAGTAACCCCACTGGGGGCCTAGCTTGCAACCCAGGCATGTGCCCCAACTGCGAATTGAACTGTCAACTCTTTGGTTTGCAGGACTGCACTCAATCCACTGAGCCACACCAGCCAGGGCTGATCATTAAACCTTTAAAAGAAGTACTATAATTAATGACATACTCAGATGTGTTTCCAAATTTTCCAATTAAGTACAGATGTAACCCTGTATCTTTCATAGCTAACAATAAGTAAAGATGTGTTAGGTATAGCAGGGCATACTCTGGGATGGATTATGAAGTCCAAAGTGATTATTATACTGCAAAAAACAAAATCTATTTAAAGGCCCAATGCCTTACATAATTTAAATTTATGAAAAATACACCAAAAAAGGAGAGGAATTTCCTTTAAATAAGATGTTGTTTCAAAAATAGTGTTCATTTTAAATATGAAAACATATAATCCAGTAATCAAAACAGTCTATAGATAATGCTTGAGGTCTCTCCTAGCCCTAGTAGACTTTGATTCAAAGAGACTTTGAATGTTGGAAAAACCACACATATAATGCTCTGTCCATTTTCTACCTGAACATGTGGAGCATTCAGCAAAGCAGTTAATTCTTGTCCTTCCTTCTGGTGGATTGGCTTCAAAACAGTTTGTACCTAAGGAACAAATAGAAAGATGAATTCTTCCTAGGTTACGGAAAATATCACCAGCACCAGAACAGGTGTTTTTTAAAAAGATAAATTTAAAATCATAAAAACTACTTATAAGACAGCAAGACACTAAAAATTCTCACAGAGTTTTCAATCTTGTTATCATAGTTAACAACAACACTCTTTACTAAAAAAAAAGAACACTAGGCAGGATTTTGGTATTTATGCATATGATTTCCTTTTGCCCAACCTACTATTAAAAGACTAACAATGATTTTATACTTTTTAAAAATTTTTAAAAGATTTTATTTATTTATTTTTAGAGAGGGAAGGGAGGGAGAAAGAGAGAGAGAGAGAAACATCAATGTGCATTGCTGGGGACCGTGGCCTGCAACCCAAGCATGTGCCCTGACTGGGAATCGAACCTGCGGTGCTTTGGTTCACAGCCCGCGCTCAATCCACTGAGCTACACCAGCCAGGGCTGATTTTATACTTTTTAATCGTGTTTATGCAACTATATTTTAAGTTGTAGGCACTCATCAAGCATTGGAGGCTAACAGGATAAATTTATATAAGAGTAACAGAACCACCAACATATTATAGTGAGTTACATTAAAAACTTCCCGCATATGAAGCAGTTCTTACATTCCTAAGATAAATGCCACTTGATAATGAATCTTTTAGCCTTTGTTTTCTCCTCTGTGTAATAGCAGCTACCATTTAAGACTCTCAAAAAATTGAGATAATCCATATAAACTGCTTAGCACAGTTCTTAGCACATAATTATCAATATATTTCTAGATGTGAGTTATTAATATTTTAAGGTTTCTATATGAATGCTCTTAAGTTGGATGGACCTCTATTTGGTGAGTGTGGTCAATGTACACTCATTTACAAAACTATCTGGCTTTACTACCTAAGTCGTTATAGTGCAATGAATGGGAAAATAGTCAACATTTGTGTCAAAACAGCTTATTTACCATTAGAATTATATGATTCTGAATGTTTTGATAGACTTTGTACATAAAATTATCTGGGCCTAGTAGATATTTTTAGGGGTAGAATTCAGACATTCAATTTTACCTGTAACTACCGGTTATCTTTTTTTAAGTTACTTTTGACAATATATATTTACCAATTTCTTCCTATAACCACATACTTAGTAGCACTTTCACACTTAGAAAGTGCTACTAAGTATGCTAGAAAGCTTTAACTGTATTATTATAATTTTTAATCTTTTGTGTCTGCATTCATGCTTTTTTAATTTCTTAATGTTACTTTTCTTCATCTAACTTGTCAAAGATTTCTCTACTTTCTTGTTTTGGGTGGGCCAAAAAGTTCCTTTTGTTTTTCCAAGGAAAATGGCTCTAGTAGCTCTTAGCTGTCTTTACTTTATTCGAAACAATTTTGTTAGATTGTGTTGTGACAGCTGTCATATCAGCATACAGTTAAAAAAAACCACAACTGGTGAATTTTGTGTAGCCACTTTAACATTGAAAATGGGAGAAAATACACATTTTTGGCACATTATCCTTTATTATTTCAAGAAAGGTAAAAATGCAACTGAAATACAGAATAAGATTTCTGCAGTGAGTGGAGGTGCTATTACTGATGGAATGTGTTAAAAGTGGTTTGCTGGAGATTTTTGTGCTGGAGATTTCTCGCTGAACAATGTTCCACAGTTAGGTAGACAAGCTGAAGTTGATAGGGATCAAATAGAGACATTGAGAACAACCAATGCGGGAGAGAGCCAACATACTCAAAGTATCCAAATCAATAAAATTATTAGTGAAAATGAAAACTGTGTCTTTTATTAAAAAAAGCAAAACAAACAAAAAACCATGAACTTTTTGGCCAACCCAATACTTTTCAAAGAAACAGCTTCTAATGTTCAGTCTAATGTTTTTTCCATTTAAACAATCTAATTCCTTTTTCTGCTTTAGTTTATTCTCCTTTTTAATTTCTAATCACTTAAGCTGTATGTTCAGTTCATTTGTTTTCAGTCCTTTTTCTCCTACCATAAATATTTAAAGGTACAAATTTTGGTCTGTGGACTACTTGCCCCCAAAGGTTACAGCATCCATGTTCTCACTATCAGTGCCTCTGATTTTCTTCCCTTTTCTATTTACCAACTCAATTACACACCAAAAAGAGTACATAATGCAGATAACAAACCAAAATTATCACCATTAATAAAAACATATAGAAGTTAATTCATACACAGATTTTTTTACATAAGTAACTCATGATTAAAACAGGAATCCAGTAATTCTTTAATACTTATTATGTCTATTTTAAATCACCTTTTAATAATTCCCCTATCAAACCTAAGAGATCATTTTGAGATTAACTAATTGGAGCACAAGTGGATTGACGTAATGACAGTAACAAAACCAGCCTGTCCTCTGGTTTTGGTACTGAGAAAAATATGCTTCTAATGGTTGAGTTCTGTATGTGTGAACAGCATGGCAGAGCAATGATCTTCTCCAAAAGTTCCAGCCCTGGCCAGGCAGCTCAGTTGGTTAGAATGTTGTCCCAACACGCCAAGGGACACATACAAGAATTAAGCATTGAGTACATGAATATGTAGAACAACAAATAGATGACTCCTCTCTCTCTCCCCCCCTCTACAAAATAAAGAAAGAAAGAAAGAAAGAAAGAAAGAAAGAATTCCATTAAAGTCTTACTAATAGACAAATGCAATAATCCAAAACTGAGTAATACATGCTGATTTTTAAAATAAGGTGTCTTTCTTTTTAAAATACTACAAATCTAAATTCATTTAAAATAAAATTCATAGTTCCTGATCACACAATTTCTAATAGCCAGAGAAAGTAATTCAGACAGAATAACGTCACCAACATTTGATATGGCCAGACCTTTAAAAAAATTATCATCTTAGTCATTCTGGTGTCCATGCAGTAGTATCTCATTCTGTTTTAATTTGCATTTCTCCACTGGCTAATTATGCTGGACTTTTCAAACCTACTGTACATTTGGATCTCCTCTTTTTGTGAAGTGTCTGTTCAAGTGCTTTGTTCATTCTTTAAAAACTGTGTAGTTTTTTTCTTATTTGTGAGAATTCTTTTGAATATAAGTTTTTATCCCACATACTTAGACACACATGTATGTACCTCAATTATCTCAGAATCAAATAACCAAATACCATTTCCTAGTCTGTTTGGCTTGCATTTTTATTGGATAAGCAAAAGTTCATTAATTGAAACTTAACTTCTCAATCTTTTCTTGATAAAATCACTTTAATGACCAAAAAGCTTGCTTTGTGCTTATTAATAAATATCCTAGGTTGTCAAAGATTTAATATAGATCCCCAAATCTGAAGTTTTCATAGTCAATATTATCTATTATATAATTCATATTTAACTGATATTTTAAGTTATAAAAGCAAAGAACACTCCCTAATAAGACATTTGTTCACTAAATTCTTGTGTTGTTTTTTTTCTTCCTCAAATTAAATTTCCCTATTAAAAAACATAACTGAAGCATAAGGTAATTTCTTTTCCATATTGCATACTAAACAGCTGGAATTATGAATGCTAAAAAGCAAGTCACTAGGCAAAGGGAACACAAGCAGCCTATTTAGTGTTAGGCCAGTGACAAAACCTCACTTGGCCTCAATATTCAGAAATATGAAATAAAAAGGTTGAATTAGGTGACTGCTAAGGTTTTTCCAACTGTAAAATAAAGACCATGAGTCCATTTAACCTTCAGTTTTGTTATCAGACTTAATACTCTTCTTTGATGAGCTTTGAGTGGGTACTTTTCTTAAGTGTTATGCACCGTAAGTCAGGGCTGCCATACAACTGTGCATGCCCAACTCTGGGCGAAGTCACTGACAGTGCAGCACAACCATATACCGTGGCTGTCTAGGTTCATCACTCATTTTAAGTACTCATTTTAAGACCAAGTTCAGCCCAAGGTCACTATCACACACATATCCCTCCACCACCAAAGCAATACGATTCTCAAGTATTACTTGAAGATATTTTAGGGATGTGAAAGCCAACCTTCAGAAAATCTCCTTGATATGACTTTTGAAATTGCAAACCATGTAATTATATTAACATCCTAAAATTAATATTCAAAATTGATTTTTAAGTCCTTTTCAATCATTTCTTTCCCTCCCAAAGCTTTTACTTTTAGTCACTTCTAGTTCCTTGCTTCTCCCAATCCTAAAACCCTTTAAGCTATGTTGCAATTTTTATACTTTCTTTCTTTTCCATCCTTTCTTTGGTCTCTGTCACATTCTTTAATTGGAGCAATTTTGACCTCTCTTGCTTATCTCATTTTCTTTCCATCTATCGTTCTATTCAACAAAACAAAGGCCCAGTAGTTAGCTGGACAAAACTTCCTCCTAAAGATAGGGAAGAGAATTATAATTATTTATTACGTGTTCCTTCCAACCATATACAATAGAAGTTAGGCTATATTTGTGAATAAAATAAGATCAAAGTAATGTTGGTTATTCCAATCTCTGTAAGGGAAATAATTTTGAGAAAAACCATATAAACTATCATAATAAAACTACAGGAGTAATTTCTGAATAAAAATTTTGCATATTTAATTTTAATAATAAAAGATGAACACAAAGAATAGGTTTCAACTAGCTCTCTTTTAAACTTTCCTTTCTGGGAACAGGCTCTCAGGTCCCACTTTCCTGTCACGGGCAACACTAGACGTCTCTCAGCCCTCTTACACACCAGATCTCTGCCCACCACAGGCACCTAAATGAGGACCATACGTTCTGTGCTAATCTGAAAAGTTCCTCAACTTATTTCATAAGTCTGTAGCTTTGAGGTCCTTCCCTTCCCCTACCCCACTTTCTGTCCTGTGTCTGGATTCAATGAAATAGATTTACTTGACAGGCTTCCAGGATTATTTGTTTTTTATAATATCAAAATACTTTAAAATCCTACAATGACAACGAAATGCCCCTCCCCCCCCAAGATAGGGGATGGCTTGTATTTTTTAAAACCTTCAATTTAAAAGATGTGAAACATTTGACATCGATAAACATTACAATTTAATTATTTTTGACTTTCTACAGTGTTTATAGAGGAGAAACTTCAAAATGCAGTCATGCACCACTTGATGATGATACCTTAGGAGAAACGCACCATCAGGTAATTTCATCATTCAAATATCCAAGTGTACTTGCATGAATCTAAATGGTCCATGGGGTAGCTAGCCTATTGCTCCTAAGCTACTGACATGTACAGCATGTTACTGTACTGAATACTGTAGGTAATCGTAACATCATGGTATACTTCTACAGGATGGGCAGTGCAGTGGGTTTATTTACACCAGCATCGCCACAAACACATGAGTAATGCCTTGCGGTACTGTGTTAGGAAAGCTGCAACATCATTAGGAGAAAGAAGCTTTTCAGCTCCATTATAATCTTATGGGACCACTGCCATGTATGTGGTTCACTGTTGACTGAAAGGTCATTATGAAGTATATGAGTGTATTTACAAATACACTCATATGAGTGTATTTGAGTGTAGTAATATGAGTGTAGTAACAAATCTTGGAAGTTATATATTTATAATATCTGATTATCAGATATAATTTTTAACTCATCATTATTCATTTACTTCAGCTTATAATATATAATGCTTAAAATAAAACTAAAAAGCACTAAAAAACATTCCCCTGTAGTAATTTAGACAAATCTTTCTTTTACCATGCAAATATATAATTTTTTTTAAAGATGTATTTATTTATTTTTAGAGAGGGAAGGGGGGGAGAGAGAGAGAGAGAGAGAGAGAGAGAGAGAGAGAGACATCAATGTACGGTTGCTGGGGGCTGTGACCTGCAACCCTGGCATGTGCCCTGGCTGGGAATCGAACCTGCGATACTTTGGTTTGCAGCCTGTGCTCAATCTACTGAGCTACGCCAGCCAGGTGCAAATATATAATTTTATATGCAAAAATAACTCCTTTCATAAAACATAGTTCAGACTGAAATAAGTATATATTTTTTTCAGGATAAAATGTATGCAGTGAATTTTTCATAATACTCTAAGTTATTATTATGATCAGTAGTACTTAATTCAAACAAGCCTTATATTCACACCAGTATTTTCCAATACTACTGCCCTACTACTGCTAACAATTACCTTATACAGGTCAACGATACCTTTAGAATACATACCTCTTGTGCAAGATCTTGAGCACTGGAAGTAAGAGGAAACGGAGGACTGGCCTTGTTCATGTGCACTGTGACAGCATTGTGTATCTTAAATGCATTCTGGAAATCTTTATTTTGGACGAGTTGTAAAAGCAGTGAAATATCGTCCTGGCTCTGAGAATCGACCAACGTATGTTGGATATGTTTAAGAGAAGAAAACAAGTCTTCCACTTCTAGCGGGAGAAGAAAAAGGTATCAATAAATTAATTTTATGTCTTAACATAAAAGGTAAAATTATTTGAAGCAGTAACAATTTACCTTTTCATAAAAAACGTATGTATATGAGTGCCAAATTACTGGCATTTTACTGATTTTTAAGTAACTAAAAATTATACAACACAATATTTTTTTTTAAAAGATGTTATTTATTTATTTGTAGAGAGGGGATGAAGGGAGAGAGGGAGAGAAACATCAATGTGTGGTTGCCTCTGAAAGACCCCTTGCTGAGGAACTGGCCTGCAACCCAGGCATGTGCCCTGACTGGGAATCGAACCAGTGACCCTTTGGTTCACAGGCCTGCAGTCAATTCACTGAGCTATACCAGCAAGGCAGAATAAATTTTCTAAAAGTGTTTTACACATAAACTAACATATAATCATAAAAATAAATGAGGGGAGTAATACAGACATGAAAAAAGTAACTTAAAATCACCAATAGTCCCACCAACTAGAAACAACTTCAAACATCTTACAGCATCTCCTTTTTTCAGTACATTTTACAGTACATTTTAATTGTAATTCATTTTAATTGCTTTCTCAAATCAGTCTTTAAAAAACATTACATGTAATGGCTCTGTGATATTTTATTACATGGCTAAAACCGTAATTTATTATAACCACTACACTACAGCTGGGCACTCAGGTTGCTTCCAATTTTTGGCTATTAAGTAATAATAAGCATTTCAGTACACAGTGATCACTGCTGCACAAAAAATGTGAGATTCTGCTGTTTTCTTAAAATAATTTCTAGAAATAGAATTTTAAAATAACATTCTGACATTTTAAAAGCCAAACAGCTTTCCAGGGAGATTTTGCTAATTTACATCTTATTAGCAGTATTTTCTCCAAAATTCAACAGCACCATTTAAAAAATATTCAATTTCTTTAATAGGGAAGTTAAAGCTTATTCAAATTTACCAGGTACTTCTTTTGTGGTCCATTAAACTCTTATGAACATGAATCTCCTAAAATTATACTGAAATTTGTAGCGTATATAAGTGTGTGTGCACGTGCCTGTCAGTGTCCACATGTATGTAGCATATACATTTTTCTGGGAGGAATTCCAAATGATTAAGAACCAGAGGGTGTCTCTTCCCTGTCCCCCAACAGGTAGATACGTGTTTGTGTGTACACTTTGTCACATTCATTGAAAATGGTTTTCTAATTTTTCCATTTGTCTTTTAATTGTATTTGTGGTAGCTTTTGTTACTGGACTTTTTATTATAGAAGTTTTCAACTCTTATTTATTGAGAATGATCCCTTCACCCAGGGATTAATTAAGCAAAGAAAAAAGAGACTCATGGACACAGACAATAGTACGGTGGTTGCCAAAGGGAAGGGGGAGTAGGGGACAGGTAGAAAAGCTGGAGATAAAGGGTGATGGAAGGAGACTTGACTCGGGTGGTAAACACACAATGCAATATACAGATGATGTATTGTAGAATCATATATCTGAAACCTATATAATTTTATTAACCAATGTCACACCCAATAAATTCAGTAAGAAACTAAAATTTAAACAAAAACAATCCACCTGCCCTGGCCAGGAAGCTCTGTGGGTTAGTGTCCTGATGCACCAAGGTTGCAGGTTTGATCCCAGGTCAGGGCACACACAAGCAGCAACCCATGAATGCCTAAGTACGTGGAACAACAAAATTGATGTTTCTTTCTCTCTAAAATCAGTAAATTAGAAAAAAAGAACAGCCCGTCTTTTCCTGCATGATTTCTTTCACTGTTTCTGTGTTTATAACTCCTTTCCCTAGGTCATTAAATACTTACTTACATTTTTTGTAGTTTCTCGTGTTTTCAATTTCATAAAAAACTAGAATTTATCATGAAGGCAGATTTGCTTTACCTGTCTTTGCCTTCTCCTCTGCAGTGTCCCTGTTTCTGCCCTCCTTCCATCCTGTCTTGCCCTAGATACCTCTCTGCCTCGATACCCGCCCTCACTGTCCATTCCCACAATGCACTTGTGTCAGTCTTTCTCACTAGCCCTATGACTCTCCATTTACCTGTCTTTTTCTCTGTCCCTGTGGCTCTTTCTCCTTATGTCTGTTGTGTCTGTCTATGGGAGTGGAAAGGGAGTCTCTGTTCTCTCCATGTCCCGTCCTGTCCTTGTTGTCTGTCTTATCTTTATTACAGGAGAGGGCGCCTACGACAGGACTGACTTGGTTGCATCTAACTGGATTTTGTAAACTCCCTCTGAAATTGTGCAGAACACTGGAGAACTTAGGTGGCTTTTTAAGTAACAGATAACATAATTGCAGCATCAGAATGAGACATTTCTTTAAGTGTGTAGAAAATTAACTGTTCCTGAATAATAAGTATTTGTAAAGTGCTTTTAAATATGTACCAAATACGAAGAAAGTTTTTTTAAATCTGTAACTAAATATTCTGACCTTTGAAATATAGAATTTTTATGAAGTTAAAGCATGAATAAGAATGTCAATATGAGAATCCTTGAATTGATACTGCTAAAGATTATTTATCATACTTAATATCAAAGAAAAGACCCTTTGTCAGAATTCCGTTCAGAATTTTTGAACAAAAACTCAGTAAAGACAGTGAACTCATTTTATCATAATCAGTATTTTGAGACTAATGCTGTAGGCACTTGATGCTTTTTATGTGATCTTAAAAGTGTTATTGCACAGAGGGAGCATCATTTTAGTGTTCTTTAAATTGATGAACTTGTAAATATATACTAATTTCATCTGAGGGTTTGCATTATTTGGTATTTCATATTTTCTCTTACATGTTCTTTTGTTTCAGCTGTATATGGTTTAGTCCCTGTCTTCTTATTAAGCTACATATATTTCATAAAGTTTAAAAACTCTTATGAGTGCCTGGTAACTTAATCTGTTTTGCTTATTCATTAAACATTTTTTTAAAGGATTATTATTTTTTAACCTTTTTAAAAAAGATTTTATTTATTTATTTTTAGAGAGGGAAGGGAGGGGGAGGGGGAGAGAGGGAGAAGGAGGGAGAGAGAGGGGGAGGGAGGGAGAGGGAGAGAGAGAGAAAGAAACATCAATGTGTGGTTGCTGGGGGTCATGGCCTGCAACTGAGGCATGTACCCTGGCTGGGAATCGAACCTGTGACACTTTGGTTCGCAGCCTGCGCTCAATCCACTGAGCTACGCCAGCCAGGGCTCATTAAACATTTTTAATGAAAACGTATTTGAACTTGAGGGATGAGAGAACTCGGGGCAGCGTTCCAGCCTAAAAATGCTATCTGGAAACTTTCCCAGCTAAATTGGTCATGAAAGCAGATATGGAATTTATCCGAAAACTGTCTGTGTAAATCAGTTACCAAATCTGCTTTACTGCTTTGCTACTTGGGTTAGTGCGACACCGTCAAAGGTGCTTTACAACATTTCTGGGAAGATACATATAGCCTCTACATTCACAGAAATTGCAGTTTGGATTTCTTTTGCTCAACTTTTTCAATATACGATGGGGGATGCCACCCCCCCACCCCCAACCTGGAGTTATCTTTTGAAGGGCAGGTCCCTTGTAGTACAGGCCTTCCCTGATAGGTGAGTGTTCTAGGAGCCCATCTCTAGCAGTGTACTAGCTGGCACTGCTGTGAAAGGCTTCATCAGCTTTAGGGAATTTTTTGGAAGACTCTTTCAACGCATTTGCCCATTTCATGAAGGGTGATTTATGAGTGCACCTGCCTGCACTGTGCTGAGTGGTCAGCAGTTTTTGACCAACAACAGCAAGATGCCCTGTGCCCCACCTCCCTATTCACCCGATCTCACCCTGAGGGACTTTTTTTTTGTTTCCCCGATGAAAAAAGTCCTCAAAGGGAAACATTTTGCCAAAGTGGAAGAGGTGAAACAAAAAATGACAGAAGCACTAAAAGGCATCAAAATTGAGGACTTCAAAAACTGTTTTGAGCAGTAGAAAAAATGTCTTAATAGGTGTAGTGCATCAAATGGAGAGAATGCTGAAGGTGACTGAAGTTGGTAAGACTAAATATACAATTTTTTATAAATAAATTTCAGTTTTTTGGGTCCCCTCCTCATACTACCTAGTACACTACTGTAATGTTGGAGTTGAAATAAAATACTCTAAGAAAATATTTAAAGCATAAAAAGCTTGCTTAAAATAGCATAAGTAAAATGCATCAGTACTAAAAAAGTAGCAACAGGATTATAAAAAGTACATAAAAATACATTCATCATATATAGTATATGTGAAAACATGCACACACACAATTAACTAAAGGAAGTTTCTCTCACAGATTCATGGCAACACACCATATTTTTTGGGACTATAAGACGCACCCTCCTTCCCCTTTCAAAATTTTTTTCCCCCTATTTTCCTCCTCTAAAACCTAGTTGCATCTTATGGTGCAAACCCCAGACACACCTCGGATTTAGAGGAGAAAAGCAGGGGAAAAAAATTTTGAAGCAAAAAATGTGGTGTAAAAAAATAAAAAAGTGCATCTTAGTCTGAAAAATATGGTAACCAGGATGTGTAAGCTTCTCTAAATACTTGTTAGTGTATATTACATGATGCTGCACTGGGTGAAAAGCTATCTCAGGACTACTTTTCTACAACAGAAAAATAATGTTGCAATCAAGACCTAGAACCTGCAAAAAAATTTCTCTTTTATCATTTCCTTAGTGTGGCAGAAGAACTGCCTTAGAAGTTCGAGAAATGAATCCTTCATTCAGGTGCCATTTTTGAGTACGACATCATTTTCTCCATGTGTAGAGATCTGATTGAATTTTGTGTGTCTCAGGTTTTGATGGGGGTTTTGGGTTTGTTTTTATTTTTACTGGGAAAAGTTTTTCAGGGTTTTTGGATGGAGTATATAAAATAATATATGCATATACTATGGTATTGTTCTATATCTGAAATTCAGGACAAATAGACATTTGTAGTTTTTCAATAATGGTTGGAGATAATTCACTGTAAAACTGAGCTTCAATGCAAGTGACTTTA